ACCCACTAAGTGTACAGTTTTCTCTGCAGGCCTCAAATGAAACAAGTTTGGCAACTTATTGAATGCATTTTCCTGAATTCACTCAATGCAAAGAGAGGGGTAGTTTTCAACATTCAACATTCAACAACCATACATTTTTCACCACTTACAACTTAACTCCTGCTCTAGGAGTAATTCCACATCTTAATCCTGTCTTTGAGGCATGCCACCATTAAACTTAATGCTATTATTTCCCTTCCGTAGACTGTAATTAACGTGGACACCCATCAGTCTCAGCCTTCCCTGCACATCTCTACACTTTCCCATCAACAAGCACTCAGTCTGGGCTCCAGGCAGGAGGAATGAGGAGCATCCCCAAAGGGGCTTCCTGCCGCAGGGAGTAAGACCCACTAACCACTTGCCCTCACCAAAGGCAAAGTTCCAGGAAATCAGAGTTGCCTCTGAGGATTCCTGGACCTTTGTTCTTCTTTCAGTGTTCATCTCTCTTTGTTCTCCTTATACCTTTCCTCATCTGTTCCCATTTTGTGTTTCTTTCTCAGTTTTATCTTCTTTGCTTTCTGTCTTTTCTACTCTTTCCCTTATTTTCTTCTTTTTTGTCTTCTGAATTACACTAATAAACTTTAATTAGCTAGGAACATATTATAAAATCTTTGCTTTATACCCTTAGCATCTGCTCATCTGTCTACATGGGTTGTCTATCTGTAAAGTCTTTGAATCTCTTCATTTCATCAGGTGGAACTTAATTTCTTTTCCTCTTTATACTGGCTGCACCAGTATAACTGGTAACTTACTTGTAGCTGACAAATAACTAGAGGGCCAGTATACAACCTCAAATACTGGCTCATACTGATGACTATGGTGGACGGGATGGTGTACAGCTTCAGAGACTGGCTCATAAAAGTTACAGTGGCTTCCTGCTTCCCCTGGTCCTTGCTCTCAGGTTACTTGCTTTGGGTTTCATCAGCTACTGTGTGGAGCAGATTTATCAAGAGGCTTGTAGGTGTTCCTGAAAAAATGGAGAGGACTTAAGACCTCCAGCCAATAGCCATAGGAGTGAAGCATCTCAGAAGAGAGTTATCCAGCCCAGCCAAACTTCAGGGGACTGCCGCTCAGCCAACACCACAGCAAGACCTACTCAGTTAAATCATATTTGAATTTCTGACACAAAATTTGAAAGACAATTGAAGTTGCTTTAACACACTATGTTTTGAGGTAATTTATGGAACAAAAGCAGAATAAAATCAATTAAATGGATATATGCATTCTATCTAAATGTTCTGTTTAAATATATGTGTCTAGGTGGACAGAAAGAGATAGACACTTTTTTTAAAAAGATTTATTTGTTTATTTATACAAGAACAAGGGTACAGGCCAGAGGCATGAGAGGGTGAGGTGATTCACCAGAGACAGAGTGGGGAACAGAACAGACAGACTGACGAAATATAATGCTGAGGGGAGCAGCGGGCGTGACAGGAGAGGTCTGCGTTGCCGTGTGGGACCCTCGCCGTGCGGCCGGGATGAAACCGGCGCTGAGAGGCTGTGGACAGCTTCACAATACAGTGCTCAACTGCCTGCGCCGCCAGGGGAGGCCCATATAGGCACTTCTTGTGTAAAAAGTTATCCCAAAATTCATCCACTCATCCATCCATCCATGTATTCATCAATCCATTCACCCATCAATCAATTAACCCATCAATCAATTTATCTATGTATCCATTCACTAATAACATATACATAATAAAAACTTGATTGAAATTGATTGCAATGAACAGATTTGGACTTCATTGCCCACAGACATGGTTGAAATTGAGATACAAAGCTACCCCCTCTCACTGGTTTTGAAAGCTGCTTCTGCAGACCTCTCCTGTCTCGCCCGCTGCTCCCCTCAGCAGTGTATTTCAGTCAATCTGCCTGTTTTGTTCCCTACTCTGTTTCTGGTGAATCCTCTCACCCTCCACACCTCTGGCCTGTACCCCAGTTCTTGTGTGCATAAATAAGTAAATCTTTAAAAAAAAAAATAAAAGGAAGCTGCTTCTTCAGAGCTTATGTCAATGGACCCTTTCCCCTGGCTGTTCCCTAGATGCCTGATGCCCTTGCATGTCCCTGTACCTCCCCTCCCAACCCCGTGCATGCTGAGATAAGACCTGGGGACATCTTGATCTCATTGTCTTATTCTTAATCTGGTCAGAGAAATGTTCTCCATTGCTCAAAAGAACTAGAATATCAGTTTGGTCTTTTCTTGTTTCTGATACAGCAGCAGGCAAACTCTTTGTGGTGAGGAGGGAAAAAATGATTAAAAATGGCAATTTGGATCAACCAAATTGGGTCAGACCCTGAGCCTAATGGGAAGAACAGGGCAGACAGAGACCCATGTGCTGAGGCCTCAGCATTGGCAGCCATCGGCAGGCCTGTGCATGGCCAGTCTTTTCAATTCTGGCTCCCTCTGGGCAGCCCACAGCTCACCAGCTATAGTCTCCATAGCACACACAGTTTTTAACTGAAAGCAGAAAAAACCCCTTTAAACCTAATTTTAAAATACTGTCCTGGGAGAAGTCTCAATAATGGCATGGGGTACAAGATTGGTTCTGCACCTTTTTTTGCCACAACACAAGCTATATGCATATAGCCAAGGTGGATAAAACATACAACATCTGTGTAATTTCACTCCATGACTTTTGCACAACTATGATATCATTTAATAACACTTTCAGCAAAACACGTGCCTGTCATTAAGCAACGGGTGGCTGTACTGCAGAGTGTTCTAGAAGTAAACATTTCACTAGCTCAGAGGTGGTATTAGTTGGTTGTTGAAATCAATTCCTATAAATAGGGAATCATACAGTTTTGTTCACATTAGGGTAGACATTATTATGGACATATTAATGGGCGGGTAAAATATACAATTGTGAAAGTTATGACATCGACTGAGTGACTAAAGCCCAGAATTGGCCAGAAATTTGGCAGAAACACACAGGTGCCTAGATCTCAAGGAAAATAAATGAATGATAGCAAACTGGGAGGGCTGGACTGTATGGTCTGGGGAAACCCACGGTGGAAACACACAAAGCCTGAAAAGTTACCTCTGAAGGAAACACCTTGGAGATGGTACATTTGAATAGGGATGAGTCAGAGCTCATGCCTCCTCCAGAATGGTCTGCCCTGGCCACTGTCACCTGAGGGAGAAGCCCTATGACTGTGCTCACAGATATGTGGGAAAGGGCTTGGCTTCCAGTCTTCCACAGGAAGACTGGAGACTGCCACTTTGCCCTGCAGAGCCCTAACACCCACAACTCTGGTGTTCTTTGCAGTCAAGTCTGGGCAGCACAAAAATCCCTGAATCTGTGTAGGGTCAGTATCACCTGTCATTTTCATGAAGCCACCTGAAAGCAAGCCTTGCTGCAAACATTCTCAGGACTCAGTTTCCATGTCTACAGGGGGAGCAAGTGGAGCAATGGAAGAAAAGAGCTGTGTCAGCAAATGATCTGCACAAAATTCCATTGACTGCTCCATATTTACTTCCTAACTACAGGGGGAAGTCTGTAGTTCCTCAACTGAAGCAGGGTGTCATCTAGGTGTGCAAAAAGTAAAAAAGAAATATTGGACACAGTGGAATTCATAAGAACTGAAATTAGAAAACTTTCAAGAGTTAATTCCTGGGTGTTTATTAAAGTTAAGAATTTTTCAGAACTATGACTCTGAGAAGGCAGGGGTGTGGGTGGGGGGAGTGACAGACTGTCTGGCTCAAAGTGTCTTCTCTCCCTCAAAAGCACATCCTGCTTCCTGAGCCTGGGAATAGAAATCCTCCTGTTCTTCATACCAGCATGTGTTCTAACCCTTCCCTGAAGGAGTAAGGCCCAGAAATCATTCTCCAGCCACCACCTCCTTGATTTTACAGTTGAGTGATGTATCAGTTGGGGTAAATCATGCTCTGAACACTGCTACTCAGAGTTTGGTCCAGAGACCAGGAATGTCAGCACCCCTGGGAGCTGCTTCAAATACAAAATGTTCCAGCCCTGCCCAGGACTACAGAGCCCCAAATGCCAGGGGAGGGAAAGGACTGAGCACATGGGCATCCACAGAGCTGAAGTCTTGTTTGGAAAGAATATGTTCTTAGTCCCTCCAGAGCCCCACCTGCTGCTACAGCTGCAGACTGTGATGGTGTCCTTTCTAGAAGCCACTGCACACTGGAAATTGTGCCCACGCAGCCATGACCACCTTGGCCACCAGGGGGCACCATGTCACCCTACTGCCCCAGCACAGCCTCCCAGGGTCTCCTTGGGTTCAGTCTCTCCCTCTGTCCCTGGCTCCCTTCCCTCCATGCCCCTGTTCCACTGGCAAATTCCTCCAAGGGGAAACTTGCAGGCCCAGAGAATGTGAGTGCCAGGCTCCTGTATACAACTTTGAGGGGGGCCTAGACATGAGCTCACAAGCCCCCCTCACTGAGCACAGGGTAGACCCTCAGAGCTGAGAGTTCTGCCAAGGAAGCTCCTGGTCCAGCCACAGGCCTGGCATCAGCCTGCAGCGCCCGGAGAGCTTGTCTGTCAGGACTCAGCAGGGGCTGAGAGCCAACGGGACAAGGACACAGCTGGATACGTTGAGAACTTGGTCTACTACTCCTTGGGCAGATCTGCCTTCTGTCACCCACAAAGACAGTTCATCCTTTTTGACTGTGACCCCCATTTTCTCACTGCCCTCAGCCTCCTGTTGTGCCCCGGAGTCACCCTCCACTTCCCCCTGTGCCACGTGCTCCCAGGTGGCAGTATCTGATTCCCAGGTGTCCAGACGAAGCGCTCTCTCCCCATGGAGGCTCTGCATTGGCTAAAGGGGCCCCCACCTCCATGGCTGGCCCTCCCCACCCCAACTCGCCTCACCCTGTCCCTCTGTGCTGACAGGAGACACTGTAACAGCCAGAGTGGAGGAGGCAGGCCACACGCGGGGAGGACAGGGTGGAGCAGCTGAAAGGAGCCCGGGGGAGACGCTGTCCTGCAGCAGATGATTGGACCAGTGCCCAGGGCACGCTTAGGGCGGGAGCCTGAGCTGGGAAGGACAGAGGCTGTGGGTGCCCGGCTGCTGGCTGCTGAAGCCATGCGGTGCCAGCCCTGGAGGTGGGCTCTGCCCTGGGAGGTGCTCTTGCTTCTCCTTGGTCCCCAGGCCCAGTCTTATAGTTGGCATCTGCATGAAGGAAGTGACTGTGATGAGGGCTCTTTTATAAAACATTACTTCCCTGCCACGGTGGAGTACGCCTTACACATGTTCAATGAGAAGAGCAAAGACACGAACGCCTACAGGCTGGTGCATATTCTGAATTCCTGGAGGGAACAGGTAGGAACACAATTTCCTGTCCCACTGCCCTTTCTTGATAGTAAGTGAAAGTCAGGACTAGGGGGTGTCTTACCAAGGATTGTGTTCACCATCTTAAGACCATAAACTATAGGAAAACAACACCCTATTCAGCTTCAGGTTTCATAAAAGACTTAACATGGAAATTTTTAAAAATTTGGTCAGTGTCTACTAACCTGCAATATATATATTTTTTTCAGTATTTAAGACATAGTTTATGAAGAATGTCATCAATATTCTCTATGAATGCTTATACTGGGTAAGGAAAAGAGCTAGTCAGAAAATGCTGGAAGAGATAAGTTGGAAAAAAAAGAGAAATCTAGAAAAAACAGAGAGAGAGAGAAAGAGAGAGAGAGAGAGAGAGAGAGAGAGAGAGAGAGAGAGAGAGCTCTCCTCAGCTGAGAGTTGCTAGAGGACAGGCCTCTTCCCGGATCCCTCCCACACTGGGCTCCTCCTGGATCCCCAACCAAGTAAATTTATTTATTTATATGTATTTAGCCTCTTCCCTACACAAGGGCTCCTTATCCAAATATTCTCTCTCTACAACGACTTCTCTAGAGAAGACTCCAGGAGTCCATTTCCACCTGGGCTGCAGCATAAACAATGGGCTCTTTGCTGAGGGAGCATATCTGCTGTGTGTGTGAGAGAGAGAGTGCATGTGTGTGAGCATGTGTATATGTATGAGGATGTGTAAGAGTGTGTGTAAGTGTGTATGTGTATGTGACTGTGTATGTGTATAGATGTGAGTATGTGAGTGTGAGCGTGTGTGAGCAAGTGTTCCGGGGGCCTCAGGAACATTGTTTCTCCCCCTTGGGACCTCTGGATGGAGAGTTGGAATGAGGGGGAAGGTCTCCACCCAGGAGCTCTAGGTCTGCTCAGAGACTGACCTGTGTGTGCTGGGTGAGGATGGGGAGCACTGGGAGTGCATGGAAAGCAGGAGGGGGAATGGAGTGAGAAGATCAAGGCAAATTCATGGGAAAATAAGTTTCCTGAGGCCACTGCCCCTGCTCTTGTGTGTGTTGTGTGTGCTTGCACGTGCTGGTGATTGACATTTTTTGTTTCCAAGTCAGGAAGGGGTGCCACGGAGACATGGGGCTGCAGGTGAGTGACATTCAAGGTGTGAGACTTGGCCTGCATCCACCCCAGGGTCCCCCCACGCCCATGTGCCTCTATGCTCTGGACTCCCCAAGCCTGGGTTCATCCCCATGAGCTGAGCTAGGCCCTTCCTGCACTGCATATTCTTCAGGAGCAGCACTTAGGGGACAAGGGTTTTCCTCTTTTTCTCTATATGTATCACAGATTGGCTATATGTTGGCTTTCTCCATGGAGCTGCTGCTTCGCAGAACCATTTGTGGGAAATTGGAAGAAGACATTGACAACTGCCCCTTTCAAGAAAGTGCAGACCTGAACAATGTAAGACACACACCAGCTCCCCTTCGGGCACACAACTTGGACACTGCATGGGGTGCATGTGGGTGCCAAGTTTGGCTGTGCCAATATAAAATCCAACATAAAATCTACCTGCTCACTCCAGGCCAGCTGCCTGCACTCCTGACCACACCACACTGATGTCAGATTGCTACTGACCCTTCCTTCGGGATCTCTGTCCCCCAGCAGATGACACTTTTCTGATCCTCATCTCCCTCCGTATCTGCCCCTGCAAAAGGAGGAAGTCAGAGCTGTACACCATCATTTTGTTGGAGTGGCCTGTTCTCAGGGTTGTCCTGCCATAATCCAGAGCCCAAAGGCTGAGGCAGCCCTGCCCACCCATGTAGGCACAGCTTTGGGGTCTGTTGAACTGCAACTCCTGGGAGCCCAGGGATGGTCATCCTTAGTCTAGGACAAACCATCCTGGTCAGGGGCCCCTCAGAGATCGCTCCCACTGGGAAAGATTCCCACTACTCTCAGATAATGAGTCACTCTGGGACAATGTGGGGTTCCCCTGGGGTCAAAGGTCAGGGGTGGGAAAATGACTAGTAATCTGATGTCAGGAATTGGTCCCTGTTCAAGAACATGAAGACTCAGACAGGGGGCTATACAAGAGGCTCAGAGCCTGCAGCCCAGATGCTCACCCCAGGAAGCAAGGTGGGGGGAACTTCCATTAGACCTGGAGCCCAACCTGCACTCCTGTGCTTGTTCCCTCAGACCTACACCTGCTTCTTCACCGTCAGCACTGAGCCCTGGGAAGGAACATTTGACCTACTGCACAAGAAGTGTTTGGTGGGGTTCCACTGAGTGAGGATACACCCCCAGAGCGGCCTGAACAATCCTGCAGGCGGCCTGCGGTGCTGAGCAGCACCAAGCTCTATGTTGCCTTTCTCTGCAGGAGTCTGGGTCTCACGTGCCCGCGTGGTGGAATTCCTCCCCGCACGCACTCATCCTGTAGATCATTAAACATCAGCATTTCAAGACGCTCGTGTGATGCTTCCAGAGGGGGCGCCGTGCACTGATGGATCATCCCAGAGGGCAGTCTGGGGGCCCGGCCCAGGGTCTGCCTCCCAGGGGCCTCTTGGGTGGCTCCAGGAGGCACATCCCAAGAGCACAGGTGTCTGACCTGCTGTGTCAGGGCTCCTGAGCGCTGACCTCTGCCTAGAGGGGCCATGGCCCTGTCCTCCTGCCAGGGAACCCAGAGAGCAGGATGCACCCAGCCAGGGCCATTGTCCCTTCAGGACACAAGTGCTCCCTGTCTTGGAAGACTTGCCTACATATACCCCATCACGGCAGCTGTGGGGAGGGCGGAGGTTTCCAGTCTCCACTCAGAGGGAGACCCGGCAGCAGCATCTCCTGGAGCCTCTTGGAAGTGCTCAGTCTTGAGGCCCCCCAACCTTTACACAAGGAGACTGCATTTTCACAGAATCCGAGGGAACATGGGGAGTTCCAGAGGCACTGGTCACCAGAGGTTGTGCAGACCCTGCCCATACCTCCCAGAAGCAGACTCCTCAAACAATTTCTGTAAAGAGGTGGAGAGTAATTTCCAGGCCTTGGGTCTGCTTCTCCATTCCCCCCACCACGTTGTCTCTGGCCTTGAGAATCCCCTGGAGTCTGAGAGCACAAACAGGTGTGGTTGTGTTATAGTAAGACTCCACCTACACAGCAGCCAGTGGACTGGGTTTGGACCTTGGGACTTAGTTGCCCCAACACTAGATGCCATTCTAGTGCCCCCACCCCTGGAAGATCGGTCACCAGCCAGCACTCCAAGCAAGATCTGCAAGGCTCCAGCTCTGCTCAGGGCTTCCTGTGCATCGCAGCTTTAGCAGCAGAGCAAGGGGAGAGGGAAGGCTTGAGGGCTGCACACCAGCAGTGGCGGCGCCAACAGGGGAGGCCATGGTCCCTGCCCCAGGGAGCAGATGCAGGGAGCAGTTCCACTGGTTCTCCCAGTTCTCCAGCAGAAGGCCCTTGACCCCAGGGGTAACCATTGCAAAACCCTGACTTACTCCCTCTCTGTCTCCCTTTCCTGCTGCTCTGTTTGTGATTATCTCCCAAATAAACTGCCCAGCACATGAGTCTCCATTGCAGAGTCTGCCCCGGGGGATCAGAGTGGACAGGGGGTGTGGACCCTTCTGTGATGACCTGGATGGGGTTCCCTTGAGCCTGCGATTCCAGCAAAGCTGAGGGCAGCGTCCTGGCTGCTGGCTGAGCCCCTGAGGGTAGGCAGAGCTGAGTCTCATTGCATGTGCCCTGCCTGCCTCATCCCAGACTTGACAAGAGTTTTCCTTGAGACCTTCCCACCCTCTCCTGGCTGCTCCCACTCTGGTCTTCCCCCAAGTGTGACTCACTCAAAGAAGGAAGCCCTTTCTCTCTGCCTTTCCTACTCATCTTCCAAGGAGTCAACTCCTCATTCCCTCAGTCAAGCCCTCATTCCACTGGGAAGCTCCTAGTGGAATGGGCCCTTTTGACATCAGCCCAATGGGGAGAGCTGCTGGACCCTTTATGAGCACACCTACCTGGTGGGATGGGCAGGGAGCCTAGGAGGTAGTGCTGAGGTGTGGCTCCTACAGGGACACCCTGATTCCACCTCACTCATATCACAGTGGGGCACCCATCAACCCAGAATGGAATCTATAGGAAGTGGCATTTGTCCTGGTGCCCCAGTGTCTCTAGTGCTGAGCGTGAGGACACTGTCAGGAGCTCGGACTGTGTGACAAGTGTTGGGTTTAGGGATTGGTTCTCCTGGGAAAATCTCTCCTCTCTTGCCCTGCTTTCTCTGCTTTCTCCTGAGGTTAAGTCCAGTCACTTCCTTTCTTTCAAACATCTGTGTGTTGAAGAGCCAGGGAAGTGGAAATCTAGATACTTAGTGAGTCCTTGAGTGTGGTCCCTGGGTGATGCCCTAGCGAGGGCAGAGGCATGAGTTTGGCTCAGATTACCAGGGAAGGGCATCGCTTGGCCCCAAGCTGCCAAAAGACGAAAGGCCCAGTCTGAGCCTCAGTCAGAAGGGTGAATCCAGTGGCCACTACATCTTCCTTGTTACTTATCTATGGGCTTCAGATTCAGTTTTTTCACCAGGGGATGGTGGCCAGTGCCTGCAGGCACGAAGACCTGCAGTTGGGAGTTAAGTGAGGCAGCAGGAAAAATCTCTTTGTCACTTAGCAAATCTTCTGCCATTTCTTCTTGTTTCATTTCACTGTCTGCTAGGAGGATCTTTGAGCAATTTCTTCAGCTTCCCAAGTGTCAGGGACCACACACAGCCATGGAGCTCACTGAATACAAGACTAAATATAAAGTAACATAGAACTGGAGAATTCAGGGCAGCCTTTGCAGTCCTTCCCACACTGAACCCAAGATCGATGGTGAAGGGGTGTGAGGGGTACCAAGGGAACAGTAATACCCCCTTGCACTATCTGTGCTCCTCTGCAAGAATTCCCCATGTTCCAAATCTCCAGTTGGCCTGCTGAGACTCAGAATCTTCTGAGGTCCTAGACATCCCATGTGACTGGAGTTGATTCCTCCTGGGCCCTCCTAGGGCCCAGGAAAGAACATGTTCTTGCTTGAAACTGAGCAAATAAAAACTCAAAATCTCGTTGGTCAACAGAGCTGTCTTGATTCTGATGTTTTATTTTAACTGACTTAAGGTATCATCAGGGTCCAGGAAGTTTTAAAGAGCTGAATTTGAACCAATGCACAACTAATTTTAACCTACTGGCCCTGGAAATGGGCAGTAAAATCTGGCTGACCTCAGTGCTTGCAACAGATCCATGGGAAGGATGGAAATGATCACCCCAGGGTGTGTGAACACCCCAAGTCCTTCTGGGTGTTCAGGCGTGCTGTCAGGCTCAGAGGAGAAAGCCTTTCACTTTGGCTGCTCCAGGATCAATGAGGGCTAGCAGTTCTGAATACGAGCACCTCAAGATCAAGCTATGGCCCCAGCCCTGGGGCACAGGGCAGAGGTGGGTGGCGAAATGCAGGTAGCAGCACAAAGACCCCCCCACCCTGAGGCAATTTAACACAAACTTCTCTGTGTCCCCTGGAGTCTACAGCCACAGGGTGATGGAAGGGGGCATTGGACTCCCTAGAATAGTCACTGGCTTTGGGGAGGGAGGGGCAGGTGGAGGGGTCCTGCAGTCTGACCTTGCTCCAGCAAGCTTCCAGCGTGCCCACCCTGCCCCTCACTATGGATCCAGGTGTTTGCTCTTAAGTCAACTTTAAAACAAAAATCCAAAAGCAAGTGATTTATTTGGGGGGTGATCCCAGCAGACAGTGGACAGGCAGTGTGGACATAGGAATGGAAAGGAAGAGGGATAGTGAGATTAGCAATGTGGGCAACTGGGCTCCTCTCAGAGATGGAGACAATGTACCTCAGTATTATCTCCTGGGGGGCAGAAGCTGGAGTGTTTGTCCTCTAACTTCTGTCTTTGACTGAGAGCTCCTTCCAGGAATGTTACTTCCCAGGCATTCCAGTGCTACTCACTGGCAAGAAAGCCCTCAGGAAAAGAGTTCAGGTATGTACTGTAGATCTTGCTGAGGAAGAAGTCTGGGGAGTGTTTACCTGTCAGCCAGGTGGCATCTGAGCATCACCATCTCCTGGTGTTTAAGTAAGAGCCTGCTCCTGGGTAATTCACATTTTCCTGACTGGCCTTAACTTGCACACCAGTGCTGTCCTTTCCTTGTCTGTTTCAGATAGTACCTTTTTCTGATCATGTTAACTCCCTTCATCATCTCAGCCCACACCTGCACACACACACACATATAAGATACATATATACATGCACACACACTAATACACACATAAACACACACATACAGTAACCAATGTGCTAGGAAGATGTGCTCCACTCATCTTCATCTCCTTCATGCTCTTGTGAGTTACTTCCCATACTGAATCAGGGCTGATCTAGGTGAGTGTGATGCCAGCCAGGCAGAGGGCAGGTTCTCTACGGATCCAGGCAGATGGGTAAAGGAGAGTCCTAGAGCCCTCATTGGCATTTTCAGGCTTTAAATGATCTTTCTACATCACTTGTAGTGAGGCAACCAGCTGTGGGGCAGACAGGGGGCTGGGGAGCCTCCTAGCCCCCAGCAAATCTTCACTTTCTTTGGGCTCTCTGGCATTATCGCATCTGCCCCTCTCTGCTGCTCCCAGTCCTCTGTGACTTCGCCCTTATATGCTCAGTCTCTCAGCTCAGGTGTGCCCACTTACACACACCAACACCACACTCCAGGTTTTCACCATCAGACATGCTTAGCCCAAGCTCATGCTCCTAAACACCCCCGATAGCCACAGAAGCCAATGGAGCAAAAGCCTGAGCAATCTTCATTTACCCTACAGTGACCAAAAGCACAAGGAAGAGGTGATGGCATAGGACATCCAAAGCTAGGTCTCAAAGTGTGTCTTGGCTTCCATCTTGCTCTCTCAGAACACTCTGCCTGGGGAAGCCTGCTACCATATGAAGCATACAGCAACTCTGTGTGGGGCCCACATGGACAACACCAAGCTGAAGTCATGAGAGAGAGCTGCCTGTGAAGTGGATTCTCCGGAGCCAAAGCTTCCAAGGAGAGCAGCACCGGCAACATCTGAGCACAGTCCTGTGAGAGGTAACATCTGGAACCACCTGGTCAAAGCACCCTCAGATCCCAGATATCCTGAGACAAATATATTGTTCAAGCCACTAAGGATGGGGTGATTAGTCATGTAATATTAGATAAAGCAATACTTCCTGTGCATGCACACATACACACCCACACACACACACAGACACTTGAGCAGCCCACTCTCTATGCACCAAGCAAAACCAAGAGTATAATATAAATTTCCAAAAAGATCCAACTATCTCCCAGGTTGGATGTGGGGTTTAATACTGTTCTAAGCCAGTGGGCAGATGTAGGGCCAGGAATGGCCACAGTGCAGGTTTTCTATGATCCAGCAGACCAGGTAAAGGAGGAATCGGAGTCCTCAGTGGTTTTGCAGGTTTTTGTTTTTGTTTTTGTTTTGCAGGGCCTCCCAGCCCCCAGCAGGTCTTCACTCTGGGCTCTCTGGCCTTCTCTCAGCTTCTGCTTCTCTTGCTTCTCTCTCGGCTTCTGCTGGCACCCCTGTGACGCCACCCCTAAAAGCCCAGTCGAATCCCATCTACCTATGCCCACACCCTACTCCAGGTGCCCGCCATCAGGCATGCATTCAGGACCGCAGGTTTCCGTCATCTATCCTAATGGTGAGAGGGCAGAAAAGCCTGATACCTTTTACCTTACCCTACAGCAGTGTCTTCCCAGATGACCCGGCAGGGAAATTTCCTTGGAAATCCATGGATGAACACTCTCCAGATAGTTAGATCCTATGCTGTGCTACCCACCAGCTTAGAGCAACTGAAGGCAAGTTCTTCCAGAAAGAGCGACAATGGTATTTGTGCTCAGTTCCGTGAGGTACGGAAACAGTTTCATACTCTTGCATTGATTGGTAGCAAATTGTCTCTGTTAATTGATAAATAAAAAACTAGAAATGGCTGCCTGTAAGGAACATGGGGTAACTCAGGCTCTTTTTGACCTCCTGCCACCAGCCTCTGAAACCATCACCTGAGACTTTATTTTCCTCCCAAGTTTCATTACCCACAGACATGGGATCCCATGTTATTATAAGAAAGACTTAGGAGCATGAGCACGAGGCACACATATACCCGTAAATACAGATACCCAGGCCAAGAAGCCAGAGATCATGGTGACTAGGAGGTTCAGTTGCTGCCTCCCTGCCTACTGGTTTGCCTGTGTGTCAGGTCCACTGCTTCAGCATTGAAGGCATGTCAGATATATCTAAGGCTCCAAGATTCATTTTCCATTTGCCCAAATCAACCATGAACCTTCCCAGCCCAGGATGATTATACAACACTGCCCCATACTGTAAAAGGCAGCCCACACTCAGAATTCGCCCCTGAAGAACACAAAGAGCAAAAAGGCCACACACATGCAGTTGATTAGTCAGTGGTGTTATTAAAATGTTTTGCAAGTGTCGTTTCTTCTTTAAAATGTATGTGAGAGCACCAGAATGCACTAAAAGATAATTAGGCAACTTTGCATTCATTCTTCAGCATAGTGAGTTCAAATTTCCAGGGTTTGGATGCAACAATAAAGGTGCAAAGTAATATCTAAAAGAGACAAAAAGAACAATCAACATGTAAGAAAATAATGAATGAGGCAAAAATCAGGTCCCCAGACCTCTTGAGCTGGACCCTGATAGGAAAGAAATCAGCCTCACTCCCCAGGATGGACCCAGTGCCTTAGAATTAACTAATTTTCGTAACTTCTAGATCATCCAAGGTAGTCAAGAAGGTGTAAGCTGAAGCAATCCACGACGTGGTTATCCTCAGATCCTTATTCCCAACTCTGTCCTTCATGCAGCCACACCAACTTCCCTGCAGCTTCCAGGGGAGGGATCACACAAATAATAGATGTCCTGCAGACGTTGGGAAGGGGGTCAAAGTCTGGCCAGAGACCTTAAATAAAAACTTGCAAAATGAAAAATGATGTAAAAAATATACAAAATTAAAAAAATAATAATTGAAAAAACCAAACTTGCAGCCAGGGAGCTGGGAGGAGAAAAAAGCATTATCTGGGACTTACAGAACAAGTAAGCTCAGGGGGTTGAAGAAATGGAGGTGGGAGGGATGAGTTCTTTGTATTCCTCCTCTCTTAAAATCATTACCCTGTTAGAATAAAAATGTGAACTAAGAGTATTTCCATTACATTAATGGAAACAGAAATTGCTGTTCAAGTAGAACTAAAGTTGTGTAAGACACAAACTGAAAATTCAGTTTGAAGGAGAAAACAGGACCAAGCCACTAACAACCCAGACAGGTCATTGAAAAATTGAGTCTAGGCTAGGGGTGGGGTGCGGAGGGGGGGGGGGGCGGTCGGCCACAGGTGTAGCCAGGCCTGAAGTCTTCCAAGATGGGTTGAGCTAGTTCATGGTGGTGGTGGGGAAAAGAGAGAGTGAGCTTATCAGAGAATTAACTAATTTGCTTAATTCTGAATCAGCCAAGGTAGTCAAGAAGCAATCAGAAAGGAGAGCAATTGAAAAATCCAATTATCAAGATCAATCTTAGAAGATATTTTAGCAATATGTATTAAAATTTCTTCAGAAGTGAGAAAACATATTGAATGAGTAATTTGGGGGGAGTGTTGCCTACTAGGAAACAATAGTCAGAAATGGAAATGAATATTCATTGAAATACTGTTCATAATAACTAAAACTTAAAAAATACTTAAATAATCAAATCTAAAGAATTGGCTAAATAATTTGTGGAAATAACTAAGTGAAACTAAATAGTTTCATAGCATGATGCTCTCAAATAATTTTACAATTTTGGAAATCTATAGATTTCCTCAAAACTAGATTTTTTAGATTTTAATACTAAATGAAAATCTAGATCATGAAACAGGGTACAGTATTACAGTATGATCACACTATGCAAAAATATAAACATAGTATATAAAATATATGGTATAATAATATCTAAAATACATAATATAGGAAAAACTAGGATATGTAGCAATATATTAATAGTGGTAAACTCTACATAAGGGTGTTTATAGCTGATTTTAAATTACATAATACTTTTGAAAATTTCCAAATTTTCTACATCAAATGAATCAGATCAATAACTATTTCAGCTAATATCAAATTTTAAATTTACTTTCCAAGAAAATCAGATATCTTCCTTTCTAAATCCCGATACAGAGCTAAAGAAAGCAAATATGGTTATATATGGGAGTTCTACAAAACAGGAAAAGACCCCATAGTTCAGATAGAAAGAATAGTCTTGCACATTAAGAATTGGGTGTGAGCAAGATGATGGAAGTCTCTGGAGTGTCCAGTACTTAGTACAGAGAATGAGAGGGTAAGAGTAAACCAAGAAAGTGAGCCACCTCCAAACCACACAGATCTTACTATCACCCTTGACGTTCCTCCTCTCACACTCCATGGCCAAATCCATCAGCATATTCTGACCAATCCTTCAACAGACATCTAGAACCAGGCACCTCCACTGTCCTAGCTAACATCATCTCTCATTGAGCTATTTCAATAGACTCCTAAAAGGCCATGCTGATCTGTCTCCATCCCTGCTCCTATGCTGGATTCCCTCCATCTGCCCCTCGTGGTCTGTACTCCTCTTATGTCTACCCAGTGTCTCAGAAGGCTGTGTCTATGGGTTATATATTGGGCACCCTTGCCCTTAGGCCTCTAGGAGTTGTGCCCTTTGGCTTCCAACTGGGTTGGCCAAGGGGGAAGAGTGGGATGTATGAAGAAAGTGAGGTCAGGGGTTTACATTGGACTGGCCGTGTTCCTCCACCGAAGGCCATGACTCCTGACAGGCCCTTCACTCCAAAGAAAAGGATATTAAAAAGCAAGTTGTGGAAGTGAAAATCTGGATGATCACAAGGAATATTAGAATATCTCAACCTTACTAGAAATCAGGGAAATACAGAGTGAAAGAACAAGGAAATAACATTTTACACATCTCAGACCAGAAAAATTTAAGACTCATAGCCCCAGATGTTGACAATATTGAAGGGAAATGAACAATGACACCGGGACACTGGAACAATACCGGGAAAGATGTGTTGATCCAACCACTTTGGAGAGAAAAATTGCAGCTGTGCATCACGTGTGGGCTAGCACATTGCAATGGAAGTTGCACATGCCCCACAACATGGCAGTCCCACACCCAAAGTCACCCTGGGGAGACCCCCACTCCTGCTGTGAGAGCAATTTAGGACTTTCACTGCAGCAGTGCTGAGAATGAAAAATTTAAAACCACCAAGAGTGTCCAAAATAGTGAAATGATTAAATGCAATGTGATCTAGTCATGTGAGAGCTTAATATACAGTAATACAAACAATTTCTAGTCAATTTCTATATACAGCAACAGGATTAAGATATCATTGGGCATAAATAATGGCAGAGTGTGTCGACATGAATAAATCTCAAGACACATTGTGGAGTGAAAAAAAGAGAAAGTTTGAAAATCACACAAAACTTTATATACATAGATAAATATTTTAGGAGAGTGGCTATCTTTGAGAGGAGTAGAATGGATGAATAACATATACTATTATTTCAATACTTACTTGTTAGAAAATATTTAAAATCAATCTGATAAAATGATTATAAAATATGAAATATAAAATATGAGTAGCAGGTAACTGGGTATTTGGTATATTGTTCATATTCTCTACCTGAATTTTGAGCAATTACTAAATTGAAAATGATTTATATTATTTAATAATAAGAATCTTCCCTCTAGATGAAGCCATTTATTTGTAGTTTGGTGTCCTGCAGCACAGCAGGACACCAAATATTCTAATGAATATTCTAATGATTTTTTATATTCATTAGAACATAAAAATATTTTTATTTGTGCATGTATGGACAATTTTTTTAAAGATTTATTTATGCATACAAGAGCTGGGTACAGGCCAGAGATGTGGGTGGTGAGAGAATTCACCAGAGACAGAGTGGGGAGCAGAACACAGGCAGATCTGCTGAAATACACTGCTGAGGGGAGCAGAGGGCAGTATGGAGAGGTCTGCTTCGCCATGTGGGTTGCACCCTGGCCAGCTAGGGATCAAACTCGTGCTACAGAGGCTGTGGATTGCTTCATAGTGCAGTGCTTAATTCCTTGTGCCACCAGGGAGGCCCATGTATGTGCAATTTTTGACAACTGTTTATCTATCATTATACTTAAGCAAGCTTTGTCTTTTAGGCATATATTAATTGGCATAGTAATATGTATATTATAAATGTATTATTTTTAGGAAATAAATATAAATAAATTTAGAACACATTGTAAATATGTTATCAATATATGTAGTTTAATTTATGAAAGAGAAAAATTGGAAACAAATTCTATGAGATGGTTGCCAGGGCAAATTTAAAAATATAAAAAAGGAAGTTACATCAAAATAACAAAATCAGCAGTTATTAAGATCAAAGAAACAAGAAAGGCTATTACCTATACAAACTTAAAGTAAAATTATCTTGGTAATCTCCACTCAAATGATCCCAGTAACTCCTAGGGAGGGAATAGAATTGGAAGAGCCTCAAGCCTCCCAATGGGCATGACATCAGCTTTATTGCTTATATTTTTATGAGAATATATTTTTAGAAAGTATTTACATAACTTTTTTAAAGAAAATATTAAATTTATTTTTTTAAAGATTCATTCATTTATTTATACAAGCACAGGGTATGGTCAGAAGCGCGGGAGGGTGAGAGGATTCACCAGAGCCAGAGCAGGGAACAGAACAGGCAGAGTGATGAAATACACTGCTGAGGGGAGCAACAGACATGGCAGGCAAGGTCTGAGAGCCATGTGGGACCCTCGCAGGTGGCCAGGGATCGAACTGGCGCTGCAGGGCTCAACCTCTGCGCCACCAGGGGAGGCCCGAAAATATTAAATTTAAATGCAAAATGTTCCTGTTAATATGAGGAGAATTAGCAAATATCTGATTAAGAGTTGACCTATCCCCTTATGCCAGTGCCCATTGGGCAGGAGCCTGGTAATATCCAGAACCAGCTGGGAATGCCTTTCATCTGTGACATGAAGAAGCAGAAGACTGAACATAGGAGACAATATTAAACTTGTGGGGTCATTGGGGCAAAAGTCTTGAATATCTCAAAATGTCCCAGGTTATCCATAAAGTAGCTGGACTATTGGTATTGACCAAGAAAAGCGGCTGCTAGTATTTCCAGCTGGAAAGTAGTCAGACGTCTGCAATGTCAGTCATGCTTTCTACTGGGTAGGTGGTGTCCATTGATGGTGCCTGGGCAGTCCAAGATGGCTGGCATTAATTCCTTTCCTTCCAGTACATGCAGGATGCACTACCCACACAGAGGGTACCGGGGAGTCTCTGCCCTCCACTTAAATCTGGCTGGGCTAATGACCTACTTTGACCAAAAAAAAAAAAAAAAAAAAAAAAGAAAGAAAGAAAGAAAATTTGCAAAAGGAATATCCAGGGACCTCCAAGCCAAGGTCTTAGAGCTGGTCTCACCTGTGGCTTCCTCCTCTTAGAGGTCTTGTCATGAACATGTTATAAGGAAACCCAAATGTAGGATAATGGATTCATCATAGCTTCTCCAGGGTTTCATTGGTTTTAGCCCTGAAAGTCCTAGATCCCAGCAAACTGCTTAGTCCTGGACAAACCATGATACGTTACCCTACAAGTCTACCCCATGGGGAGTCCCTGAGCACTGAGGAAGTTGCTTTGCCAGTGCTCAACTGTTTCACAAACCCAACCAAGATGCCAGAAACATGAGTGGAGCAGCCATCTGGTCAATTCCTGCCCCAGCACACACCACAGTAAGCAAAAGAATTTCCCAGCAGAGTCCAGTCCAGACTGCAGGAGTGAGAAATAATGCACAGATGTTGCTTTAAGCTACAGTGGAGAGTGAGTGAGTGTGCACACAAGCAATGCACTGGTGAGGGTGGGGGGAAGATGGTATCAGCAACTGATAATAGAAAAAGTATCATGTGTCTAGGACATCAGGGGTCATCAGTCCTGAATATGATCAGAATATGGTTTAAACAGGAAGACTGAAATATCAACTCACCCCTATGAGAATGGCCTGGAAACAACAAATGTAGGTGAGAACGTGGAGAAAAAAAGAACACGCGTTCACTCCCGGCAGGTATGTGTGGGTGTTGGTGAGAAACTGGCAGAGCAGATATGGAAAACACACTTGGTGAAATGAAAATGATCCAGCAACACTATTCCTAAGAATTTACCAAAAGGAATATGAAAACATGCAGAGACACACACCCCGTATTCACAGCAGCATTATTCACAGCAGAAAGAACTCATGGATTCAGTGCCCAATGACATAACTAGATAAAGACATTGTGGAATAGATAATCAATGGAATACTGCTCAGCTATTTAAAAAGATAAAATGGTGCTTTTTGGCCAAAATGTATGGATCTTGAGGGGATTATGCTGAGGTAAGTCAGAAAGAGAAAGACAATAACCAGATGATTTCACTCATTTGTGGAAAAGAAATAACCAAAGGAAACAAACTGTCAAAATACAAGAAAAATAACTGTTAGGCTGTGAATCTATAGTGGGTACGGGAGTGGGGAAGGGATAGTGGAGGCTCAGGTGATGGTGCATCTGCACCAGAGCTTTGGGGGAGTGTGAATGAGGCAGGTGCACGTGTTGCAGTGTGAAGTTGTATTCCCAAAATGGTATAACTACATAACAGGTGACAAATCAATATAATTTATTTTATGAAAAGAAAACCAGAAAATTGAAACAGGTTTGGTCTATCAGTTTTCCACTGTGTAGCCCATAAACCATCACTCCCCTGTGTCAGCCACATACCTTTTGCATTTTGGGATTGCTTTGTAATAAGCAGTTTTCATTTACTCCTGAAGTTTTCTTGCACATGGTCCGGCCAATTTTGACTTCAATAAAGTAGTCCAAACTATCTGTAACCTGTCAATGAGTGATTAAAAATTAAATCTCATAAAACAATGCTTAGGGTCATGTCATCTTTGATCAATGAACATGTGGGTGACTGATTAGGGCAGAGAATGTCTCTCTCCCCTCCTTCCAACAGTTTTCTTGCCAGAGTTTGGGAGTCATGGGGGTAGGGAGGTGGTTTCTTACCTTGATATTTTGTTTCGCTGTCTCTTTCTCATCAAGAAATTTAATTTTAAACCAATAAAAATTGTCACTAATATAAAGCAAGACAACTAACTATTCCCCAAAGAATCTTTTCAAAGGAAAGTTAATGGCTTGCTTATTGGAGCTTGGGCTATTAAAGCAGCAGATATTCAAAAGAGCAGTATTTGCCTAGTCAGTAAATACTTAAGGAATAGAAGACATCCCAGAACTGAAAACTGCTTTGAATGTATGACTTCCATGCTTTAGCAATTTTAGTAATTCACACATTATCCCCTGGGCTTACATCATTCCAAATCCCTAACTTTCAAGATATCTTCCTCATCTGTGCAAAGTCACCCCCACTCCCTCCCATCTCCCCACTCCCCACCCCCATCAGCTAGCCCTACCATTCAAGAATGCTACATGGGCAAATGGAACTACAAGATGGCAAATGAATATTTTTATTATCTAAAAACGGACAAGCAGGGCCTCCCTGGTGACACAAGTGGTTAAGACGCAACCTATGAAGCTATCTGCAGCCACTGCGGCATGAGTTCGCTCTCCGGCCAGGCTGCTGCCCACATTGTGTAGCAAACCTCTCCTGTGTTGCCTGCTGCTCCCCTCAGCAGTGTATTTCAGACAATCTGCCTGTTCTGTTTCTCACTGTCTCTGGTGAATTTTCTCATCCCCCATATCTCTGGCCTGTACCTCAGTTCTTGTGTGCATAAATAAATAAATCTTTAAAAAAAAATAAAAATGGACAAGCAGACTAGGTTTGTAATACTTAGGAGAGAGAACATATCAAAGAGAATGACCAAGTTAAACACAATAACTGATTCTAGAGAATAAGAAAATATTCAGAAAATTGAACATTTTAGAAATTCTAGATAAATTGTCTGGACATTGAACAAAATAGGTGTGGAGGAATTCAAAGTATGATTTCATGAATATACCTCAAATTTTCAGTGATGCATGGAAGTATACAGAAAATGCAGAAAGTGTACAGAGACTGCTTGTAGTAGTGCCCTCAGGAATGATAAATCACAGATGGAAATGCAAGAAATTGAGTGCACATTTTCATTTTTAACTCAACAACTTCTAAGCATACAGGTAGAACTTATTTTCTGACTGGATCTGTTTCTCAGCCACACACTGTTGACTGTTGGGGTTGGATCATTCTTTGTGGTGGGCGCAGTCCTATGCACTTTAGGCTGTTAAGCAGCCTCCCTGGCCTCTCTCTACCACTGTCAGTAGCTGTTCACTTCAGTTGCAATGGTCACAATGATCTCCAGGTATCACATTATTGTTGTTCGGGTGGATGGTGTATAGAGTCTTATCTCTTTCTTCAGTGTTCCCAGCAGTACATAGCTGGAATGTCAAGGAATTTTAAACACTTCTGTCATTGCCTCATTTTTATGATTTTTTAAAAAATTATTACATGCATTCAAGAACTTACAGAAAACCAAAAAATGAAATGTGCCCGCATGAAATAAACTATACAAAGTAATATATAATTTTGAGATATGTAGGTATTTATTTCAATTTATTATTAAATGTCCGCCTAAAAAGCATTTCTATTTTTACAGTGGAGAAGATAGTACAGGGAAGTCTAAGGGGCAGAACTGTTCTAGAAAAGGGAGGCACATCACAAAGAACAGGTGCTCTGAGGTGGTAAACATTCATGAAATTTTATTTATGTCACCCATTGGTGACACACATCCAGGCCCCAGGTGCCCACTACCTAAGAAACACAAACAATGTAACCAAGTCCACTCAAAAGAACCTGAGGGAGCCAAGGTCCCACAGAGTACAGAAAATGGGTGAGGGGACCTGGGGTCTACTCTCATAGGACGAAGTTCTGAATAACCTTCCTTCCTGACCAGAAAGGAAATTAAAGCAGGTTGACTGTGACCTGGAGGTATGGGTGGAAAGGTTAGAGAGAAGATGGTGGAGAGAAGAGGGAGCCAGCGAAAGAGGAGGAAGAGCAGAAAGACTAGTCCTTGTACTGCACATCATGTTAACATATCCACAAACAAGCTACATAGTATTCCCCATTCACTGTCTGCAGTTTTCTTATTCCTCAAACTCTAACCTTGGGTCTAACTACTAGTCCTTCAGTCACCCTACCACTTTCTATCTCAGCTTCTACATAAGTGCGGTAAGCTCCTACATAAGCACCACATAAGCATCATCTTTCTCCAGAAATACATCATTGGTTCAATGCTCTCTTTTGTAATATAAGCCATATTCAATGCAATGGAACAAGGACAGTTTGTTCAGTAAATGGTGCTGGGAAAACTGAACTACCATATGCAAAAGAATGAAACTAGACTACTACCTCACACCATGCACAAAAACCCACTCAAAATGGATAAAAGAATTGAACATAAGACCTGAAACCATAAAATATATAGAAGAAAATACAAACCACCACATGATACACGTCTCAGAAACATCTTTAAAAACTCGCCCTCCAAAGCAAAGAAAGTGAAGGAAATGATAAACAGCTGGGATTACATCAAACTAAAAAGCTTCTGTACAGAAAAAGACACACTAACCAAAACAGACACCCTACTGATTGGGAGAAAATTTTTGCACTCCATAAAACTGATGAGGGACTGATCACAAAGATCTACAAAAACCTCACACAACTCAACGAATCTAAGTAAACAATCCAGTCAAAAAATGGGAAGAAGAGCTATAAACACACTTCTCCAAAGAGGAAATGCAAATGGCCAACAGGTATATGAAAAAATGTTCAACATCACTTATAATCAGGGAAATGTAAAGTCAAAACCACAATGAGATACCACCTTACACCAGTAAGAGTGGCACATATTAAAAAAACTAGCAACAACAAATGTTGGCGAGATTCTGGTGAAAAAGGAACTCTCCTGCACTGCTGGTGGGAATGCAAACTGGCCCAACCACTATAGGAAGCTGTGCAGAGGTTTCTCAAACTCCTAAAAAATGGAGCCACCATATGACCCAGCAATTCCACTACTAGGGATCTACCCAAAGGACACGAAAACATTAATTCAAAAGGATACCTTCACCCCTATGTTTATTGCAGCACTATTTACAATAGGTAAGATAAAGAAATAATCAAATTGCCCCAAAATAGATGACTATGTCAAGAAGTTGTGGTACGTACACACAATGGAATATTATTCAGCAATCAAAAAAGATAAACTCATGCCATTTGCAGCAACATGGATGGAGCCGGAAAGATTATACTCAGTGAAATAAGTCAGAAGGAAAAAGAAAAATATTGGATGGTTTCACTTATAGGAAGAATATAGGGGAAACAAATAAGGGATCAGGGGAAAAATAAATAGAAAAAGAAAATTAACAGGCAACTATAAATCAGAGACATTCTGCAGGAGAGGTCCAGGAGAGGGATCACAAAAGGGAGGGACAAACACAAGGAACTAGGATGATGGTGCATGGGTGAATTGGTGGTGCAAATTTTACAGGGACTACACCTGAGGGGGGAAATCATATTGTACAAAAATGAACAGTGTTATAAAACATATATAAATAAATAAAATTATAAAAATATTCCTTTTTTATATGAATAGTCAAATTCCTCTGATAGTCCTAATAACATATTTTATCATTTTTTAATCCAAGAGATAATACAGGACATGCATTGCGTTTATTATCATGCCTCTTAGTTCCCCTTTAATAATGAAGTTAGCCTGCTTTCCTGCTTGATCTTTCATGTGATACATATTTTTAAGGGGTCTGTAGAATGTTCCCAAATTTGAATTTGTTTTCAGCTCTTTGTGGGGAGCTTCAGGATATGCATTTGTGGGCAGAATACCACATACAGCAAGGTGTCTTTTAAGCACCTCACATCCAGGACACATGATGTCACTGTATCCTGTGTTAGTAAGAAGCATTTGGTGATGAAAGCATTCACCAGATATCCTGATTGAAAAGGCATCTTCTCACCATTGCAATTAATTAATCACTAAAGTAATCCCTGCACTAGTTATTCTCTAACTCTCACCCGATGTGTGTACGTTGTAGGATTTATTGAGGAGTCATTGATGATCATAAATTAGTTACTACCATGATGGTTGCAAAGGGTGATTTCCCAGTTACATCATTCTTTAACACCTAACATTTTTCACTTAAGAGGAGACTTCCCTTCTGGTTCCTCTTTTCAGCAAATGGTGAACTTTCACTTTCTTTGCTTGTTCTCTGTGTTGTCATAATCCAGTCCTGACATTACTCATGAAGGCTCCAACTTGGAGTCTTCATACTTGACTCCTCTGCTCTCTAACCTATGCTTTCTGCTGTGAGGAGACCAGTTTAAATTAACTTGATGGATACATTGTTTCATCCCATAAGGATAGAAAATGAAGTGAAATTCCCAGGGTGTCCTTCCAAAACTCCTAAACTAAAGTTAATATATTTTGGCTAATGATATCTCTCATTACTTCCACTACCTAGTCTCATAACCACCCCTGAATAATAGACCCCTCCATGACTGCAGACATAGGAAGAGCAAGGAGTAAATGTTCACCAACCTGCTCCTGGGATTTCAGAACCTCCATCACCTTGAAGGTGTATTTGTCTATACTCTCCCTGTTAAACTCTTTCATAGCAAACCACAGTGCCTGCTGCACGTAGACATAGTCCTTGGGGATGTCCTGGAATTTCCTCACCACCTTGGGTGAGCCCCAGCAGTGGACACTTCTGGACACAACAACTGCAGTGACCACCAGGAGTAGCAGATTCTGGCAAAGTCTGAGCATGATGCCTCAGCCGAGGGGCACAGACTGAGTTCTTTTTCTCCTTCCAGGACTGGGCTGGGAGTGGGCGGGGCTGGACCTGCTGCCTCTTGGCACCACTGCAACGAAAAGGAAAGAACTTCTGTTAACATCACCCAAAAAGAAGCCCAGTGAGAAATGCAGTGACAATTTCCCATCATAGCTGTTTCCTTCCTGGAAGGATGCACAGCCCCACGTGTGCCTGCACACAGGCCAGAGGACCTGCAGTGGATGAGCTGCTGCAGGGAGAATGTGGCTCTCATAGTTTCCTTCCCAGGGGCATGTATGAAAACCCTACAGGTAATCAGTGAAATAAGTCAGACAGAGAAAGACAATGTGATTTCACTCACACGTGGATGAAGATGAAGAAATAACACTAATGAACAAACAAAATAAAGCAGAAACAAACTTTTAGACGATAAGAACAAAATGGTGGTCCCCAAAAGGTGAGGAGGGTAGGATGGGAAAATAGGACAAAAGGAGTCAACTTGTCTTCTTTTATAAATGGGATAAAAACTAGGCTTTTAGCCAACATTAGGTAGTATATAAAGATGTCCAAAATGATGAGCAACTGAAACTTACATAATGTTATAAATATGTTACTTCAATTTTTATTTTTAAAAATATAAACACAAAATGTTTATATTTTATCTTTAATTTTATTTTTAAAAATAAAATAAAATCGGGGCCTCCCTGGTGGCGCAAGGGGTTAAGACTCAACCTACGAAGCTAGTCACAGCCACTGCAGCATGAGTTCGATCCCCAACCAGGGAGTTACCCACATGGCACAGCAGACCTCTCCAGACTTGCCCAGTGCTCCCTTCAGCCGTGTATTTCAGTCAATCTTCCTGTTCTCTTCCCCACTCTCTCTGGTGAATCCTCTCACCCCACACCTCTGGCCTATGCCCCAGTTCTTGTTTGCATAAATAAATAAATCTTTAAAAAATTAAAATAAAATAAAATCTGCCACTAAGCCTCTCTACCTGCCTCAAAATTTTGCCCATACCTCCCCTTTCTCTAGACAGGCTCATTAGTAATCACACTGGGAATTGTTTATTATTGAGGCTCACCAGGTCCTGTGAAAAGCACTTCACATGTTCTCTCTGTTTAATCATTGCCATTCCCTTGGGGTTACAAGGAACAACCCCTTTTGAGCAGAAGGAAACTAGTCTCACAAAAAGGTCAAGTAAGTCACTTAGTGCTTGGGATCTTTCACTGGGCCTCGGGCTTAGCTCATCACCTGCCCTGGGGTGTACCTGCCTCACGTCTAACAGTGTATGTGTAGATTACAGCTGAAATGGACATTTGATTTTGAGGAGCTTCCATTCTACCATAGAAGATAAGTCAGTTTATCTTTTTTTGATTGCTGAATAGTACTCCATTGTATATATCAAAAAAGATAAACTCATGCCATTCGTGCAACATGGATGGAGCTAGAAGAGATTATGCTCAGTGAAATAAGCCAGAAAGAAAAAGAAAAATATTGGATGGTTTCACTTATAGGAGTAATATAGGGGAACCATACAAGAGATCAAGGGAAAAAAATAATAATAACAATAAGAAAACATAACAAAGCAAAATAATAATAAACAGACAACTGTATATGGAGACATTCTACGGGGGAGGAGGAGGGAAAGGACTCGCTGAGTCCGGCGCTGGCTGTGTAGGCACTAGATACTGAGACCCATCAAGCACTAAGTGTGCTTGAGAAACCCAAGGCAGGATATTTACAGTGAGTAAATAACCTTCTGGCCCCGCTGGTCCTCTCCCCCCGGGAATGCATACCAAACCGTCAGCATGCAAGAGGCAGGTGAGTGACACCTGTGCCAGACAGACTTGCCTGTCTCCTCAGAGCCAGTGTGTGTCACTCCCCTGTTGGGTCACCTTGCTCAACAGGGAGGCTAGTGAGGCACAGAACATAGCCTGCCCAGGGTCTGCCTTTACCCTCTTGCCCCTGCTTCTTAAACATGAACTTGCTCCACCTAACCTGGTGCCTATCTTCCCCCTCAGTAATTTACACTGATTTGATCAAAATGGGATTTGAGCAAGTAACATTGGCCTGTGAGACTTTCGGCTCTGTGGTATCTGGAAAGAGTCTCTGGGATGCACCAGCTTCATGGGCATTCCCATGCTCAGCTATGCCTGGACCCACCTGAAGAAATCAGCTCTCCACCATGTTCCTGCTCACTGGGTCCAGCGCTGGCTGTCTAGGCCCAAGATGCTGTCTCTGTCTTCTCCCGGAGGTCTCAAGCTTTGACCAATTCTACCTCCAGGCCACTTTCTGTCTGTAGGGTCCTCAGACAGATGCTTGGTCAGGGTGTCAGTGGGGTCTGAGCTCCGAGATCCCTTGTCCTCTGGTTGCACAACACGTGGTCACATCTATGCCCCTTTGTGAGGTAAGCCCAGCCCCTCTGATGCCGCTTGTGACTGGACCTCTGACAGGGGTCCCTCAGCCCTAAGACATCCACATGTCCACTTAGTGCCCCCAGGGGAGCCTCTCTCTAGTACAGTAGTCCTCACTCTTATTCCTGGACCCCTAATTTTCTACATTTCAGGGCTTGGGACTGAACCAGTTGGAAGTGAAAACACCTCCACGGCCATTTCTATCAGTCTGGTTATGTAACCCCTAGTTTTAAAGGCAGGATGATTCACCAAACAGCCTGGCTCAGGGAATCTGGACTGAGAGGCCCTTGGGGAGGGTAATCCATCAGAGGATCCTAAGCTAGGACTGGGGGCCTACCCTGGTAGATGTGGCCAGAAATACAAAGGAGAAGGTGTCTGCTGGCAACACTGCACTAGCACAATATAGCTCTACCAGGTGAGCAAATGGATATGCCCTGCTATTGGTTAGCCATGTTTCCAATCTAAAACCTTGTCCCAGGTAAGCATTCCCAGTTCTGTTTACCTCCCCTTTGCTATAGTTTCCTATGGTTCTCACGTCCTACACCAGACTCCATCCCACGCTACATCCTGTCACCTATCTGGTGACAATGAGGGAACTCCCAAGAGTTCAGAAATTTGGAAACTAATATTTCTCTTCCTAGGATAAAATACAGATTACTACAAAGAGGATCGTACCTGAACTTCATAAGATAAAATTCCAAACTAAAATCAGGCCCTCAGGCCTACAAGACCTGGCTAAAAGTTAAAATAGTTGAGACAAAATAGCATGCTTGAATTGAAGGATCTTTTCTAAGCATGAATAAAACAAAGAAGTCAAATTGAAAAGAATAATAAATTTGGCCACACATTTTGTATAACACACACACACAATTTTAAATTAAGAGATGAATGAGAATACAGAATTCGTATTTGGAAGAGGTTTGGCAAAGGGCTAGATTCCCTTTTATGGGAGAAGCTCTTTTAAATCCAAAAGAAAGAGACAATTTCCTCAATTGTCTTGACTCAAAGTGAGCCAAGAATTTGTGCAGGCAGTTTACCCTAAAGGACTCCATTTCCCCTCTTGGCCACACATCAATTGTTTGAAAGATTGGCCTGCGGTGAGGCCTCTCGCCCACTGCCCCGTGGATTCACTTTCTACCTGATGTCTGTGACCAGAGGAAGTTGCACAACACAGAGCCAAGAGACACCCACATCCTTCACTGAGAACTGCACAGGTCTGCAGAGGGACCCAGGCATCCGTACCCCTAAGTCCCCATCTCCTGAAGAGGAGGTAGTGGTGAAGGTGAAAGGGGAGGGGGTGATGTTGAACTGTGTTGTGTGTGAACCCACAGGTCTAACGTGCAGCAGCCATATCAAGACTGAGCCCCGGGGGTAGACTTCAGGCTCCCTGATCCCCTCCACACTCCAGCTTTGGGATCATCAGCAACCATACACATCTATTGTTTCAGATGCAGAGCCTCATAATACACATTCCTGCTTCTCATGATTGTGGGAATCAGGACTTCAGGAAGGGCCCAGTGAGGTCTTCTCGTTCACAGTGTCTCTTGAGGTACAACCAGACAATAGTTGGTACACACTGGACTCGCTGCTTATGGGTTGTGGGGAGGGAGGGAGGGGTTAAACAACTTTATTGAAACATAATGTTCATACCATAAAATTCACTCCTTTAAGTGTACAGAGCGGTGGCTTTTTTTGTAGTATACTCAGTTTTACATCTAAAACCACAATGAATTTTAGAAATATTTTGTTACCCCCCAAAAGAAACCCAGCATCCCTTGGCCATCCCCAATTTTCCCCCTTTAAGCCCACACAGCCACTAATCTTGCTTCCTTCTCTATAGGTTTGCATATCCTGGACAATTCATATTATTGGAATCACACTACAGATGATCTTTTTGTGTCTGGCTTCTTTCACTTCATGTATTTTCAAGGGTGATACACTCACCCCTTGATGGACATTGGATTATTTCTACTTCTTGGGTATAATGAATAACATTACTGGGAACATTCATGCTCAAGTTTCTGTGTGGGCATATGTGTTTATTTCTCTTGGCTATACATCTAGGAGTAGAATTATTGTGTTAGGTGGTAACTATATTTTAACATTTTGAGAGACAACCAGATGGTTTTCCAAAGAGGCTTTACCATTGTACATTCTCATAAACAGTGTATGAAGGTTCTAATTTCTCTATATCTTTGCCCGAAAAAACAAACCTAGGGGAAAGAAGCTGACCTGCTGGTGAGTCCTCATCCATGTGCTTTGGCCTATAGAACATGACTCAAAAGCAGATCCATGGGGAGAAACAAAAATAATAGGAAGAGAGTAAAGAGAGAGCGTATGTATATAATATTTAAATATAATAGAAAATAAATATGTATTATACATCTAAACACATAAATATGTGGCTGAGAATTTCTGTATTATATTCAAAAAAGTATAGTTTTCTAGTTTTCTTTGTGCTATCTTTGCCTGGTTTTTCTATCAAAGTAATGTGATCCTAGTAAAATGAATTGAAGATGTTGACCCCTCTTATATCTTCTGAGCTTGTTTAGAATTGTAATTAATTCTTTAAAGTTTTAGTGGAATCTTCAGTAAACCCATCTGAGTCTAGATATTTCTTTTTATAAATGAATTATAAATTTATTTTCCATCATAGTGACAGGGCTATACAAATTATATCATTCCCGTTGGTTGAGTTGGGGTAAATTTGTGGTTTTTTTGAGCAATAGGTCCATTTCATCTAAGTTGCCAAATTTAATGTGAGTAAAGTGCAGAGTAAAGGATTATTTTGTAATCCTTCCATGATGGTGTCTATAGTGATATTTTCTGTTGCACCCCTTTATATTAGTAACTTATGTCTTTCCTCACTTTTTCCTTTGTCAGTCTTGTTAGATATTTGTCTATTTTATTAATCTTTTCAAATCAATAATTGTTTCATTCAGTTCACTATTTTTTTCAATTTCAATGGTTTTGCTCTTCATCCTTTCCTTCCTTTCATTCTTATTGTGCACATTAAGTGCTATGAATTTCCCTCTCAACACTGTTTTATCTGTGTCCTAAAATCTAGATATGTTGTATTTTCCTTTTAATTTGGTTCAATATAGGGCCCCCACGGTGGTGCAGTGGGTTGAGCACAGCGCTGTGAGGCTGTCCACAGCCTCTGCTGTGCGGGTTCAGTTCCCGGCCAGCTAGGGAGATTCCCACATGATGCAGCAGACCTGTCCTGTCTCGCCCACTGCTCCTTTCAGCGGTGCTTTTAGTCCATCTGCCTGTTCTGCTCCCCGCTCTGTCTCTGGTGAATGATCTCACCTCCCCCAGCTCCCGCATCTCTGGCCTGTACCCCAGCGCTTGTATAAATAAAAAAATAAAATCTAAAAAAGTAATAAAAATAATTTGGTTCAATAAAATTTTTATTTCCATTGAGATTTCCTCTTTGGTTCATGAATTATTGAAAAGAGGGTTGTTTAATTTCCAAGTGTTTGGAGATTTTCCAGTTATCTGTTAGGGACTTCTAGTTTGATTCCATTGGGATCAGAGAACATATTCTGTATGATTTCAATTCTTTTCAATTTATTTAGCTGTGTTTTATGGTCCAGGATATGGTTTAGTTTGGCATCGGCTATGTGGGCCCTTAAAGAAAGTATATTCAGCTATTTTGATAGGATGTTCATGAGTGTTGATTAGATCTTATTGGTCAATGCTGGTCTTGTGTTCCTCTATCTTTTTGCCGATTTTCTGCCTAATTTTTCTGTTATTCTATCAATTGCTGATAGATAGGTTATGGAGTCTCCAATAACTATTAATCAGTGTATTTCCTTTTTGAGTTCTATTTTTTTTTTTTTTATGTATTTTGCAGCACTGTTGTTTGGTCTTCTACATAGGCTGACTCTTTTACCATTATAAAATATCTCTGTCTCTAATAATTTTCTTTTTTAATGTTCTACTTTCTCTGATATTAATAAGCCAGTTCTTCTTTACTTAATGATTGCATGATATATTTTACCCATCCTTTACTTTCAGTCTTCTTAAATGATTGTATTTAAAGTGACTTTCTTGTAGATTGCATGTGGGTCGGTCATGCTTTTTAATCTCCATCTTTTAATATGTGTATTTAGGATATTTGTATTTAATTTAATTATTGATATAAGATTGAAGTTTGTCATTTTGTTTTCTGTTTTCTATTCTTGCTGCATATTATTTACTCCATTTTGCATATTTTTTTTCTTCTTATGAATTTCTTAAACAATTGTTTAGAATTTCATTTTTATTTACCTGTAATGTTTTTGAGTGATGGTTCAGGAGTGACAGCTTCTTTATTGGTAACCCAAGGTAATATATATACTGGTACATATATGGTATAATACATATACTGGTACATAGAGTATATGTATAATACATACATTGGTGCATATATCGTTTTACAGTTCAAGTGATTCATAGAAATCTTACCTCCATTTACATCTCATTAACCTCCTACTTAATATAATTGTTTTAAATATTTCCTGTGAACATATTTAGAACCACTTCTAGTAATGTTGTAGTTTTAATTCAACCTGAAATATAATTTTAAAACTTTAGAGTAGAAAGCCTATTTTATCCTATGTTTTTGCTTACTGTATTCTTTCTTTTAAAGTTCCTTCTTTTACTATTTCTTTTCCATTTAGACAACATTCTTTAGCCATTATTTTAGAGCAGTCATGCTGACAGTAATTTTTAGAGTTTTCATTTATTTTAATTTCTTGATTTCCACCTTCATTTCTAAAGGATTTTGTTTTGCTGTGTATAGGAAACTGGGTTGTTATTCTTTGACTGTAAAAATATTTTGCCAATTCTTTTGACTTCCATGACTTTTGATGAGAAATCTGCTGCCACTCAAAATGGTTTTCCCGTACATATAGGGTGTCATTTTTTTCCTAGTTAATTTCAAAATTTTTTTTGCTTTGTCTTTCAGAAGTTTGCTTTCAGAAGTTTGATATGTGTATAGATTTTGTTGGAATTATCTTGTTTGTGGTATTCTTAGCTTCTTGACTGTAGATTCATGTCTTCTGCCAAATTTAAAAAATTTTCAGTCATTAACTTTTAAAGTACTTTTTTCAGCCCTGCCTTCTTTCTCCCCTCCTCAGACTCTGATGAAACAAATGTTATGCTTTTTTATAATCCCACAGGTCCCTGAAACTGATTTGTTTAATCAAATTTATAATCTCTGTTATTTAGATTACACAATTCCTTTTACTCTAGTTTTAGTTTATAGATAATTTTCTCTGCCCACTCTAGTCTGCTAGTGAACCCATTCATTGAGTTTTTATTTCAGTTATTATGTTTTTTATTGCCAAGACTTCTATGTTGCTCTTTTATGTATTTTATATCTTTGCTGAGATTATTTCTTTACCAAAACTTTCTATTTTCATTTGTTTTAAGAATGTTTCATAATTGTTTATTGGAGTACTTTTATCACAGCTGTTTAAAAATCATTGCCAGATACTTCTAACATTTCTGTCATATTTTCAATTCAGCTTGAGATCTTCTGGTCTAGCATGAAAAGAGCTTTTTAAAAATTAAAACCTGGACATTTTCATGTCATGTCATGAGACTCTGGCTCCTATTTGAACAATTTTAGCTAGCTTCCCCAGAACAAGTGAAGGACAAGTGCTGACTTATTACTGCCTTGTGGAAGTAGTTTAGTTTTCCCACTCAGGCTCCACCAAAACTGTGGATTAGAAGGGTCTTCTCATTACTGTTAGGCAAGGGAGAAAGTTTAGCTTCCCACCTAGTCTCCATGACACATAGATGGGGTGGTCTCATCACCATAAGGTAATGATGAAAGTACTGATTTTCACCACGAAGCCTCCTGACCCCTCTCCAAGGAGGAGATAAACAGGCAATTTTTTTTTACAACCATGTAAGGGTGGAAACTCAGACCCTACATGATCAACACCAACTCCATGCAGCTGCAGAGCTTCAATACAGCCTTGTGAGTGTGGAAGTCCAGGCCCTTCATTAACCTCTGTTCACATTGTGGAGGATGGGACCACAGTTTTTCTTGGCTGGACTAGAATAGTCATTATCTAAAAACGCTGTCTTGATAGGCTTCCCCTATCCTGAACTTTGGAGAAAGAGCAGGCTTTTATTACAACAAAACTGCTTACAAAATTGTAGTCAATATCTTCACCAGTATTATCAACACAGATCAACTTAGAGTACTAGGTGGGGTTTAAGTAAAGTAGAGGGACATCCATTGGACAGTTGTTGTGGAGGAACTTTCCCAATATATATCACAGGTTGTATTTAAGGAAGAAGAATCATATTGAATGTGGTTCCAGTTAGATGTATGGTGGACCTTTGTGTGAAGTAAGGGATTTGGCTTTCTCTCTCTCCATGCTTAAATCAATCAACAGCCCCTCCACTTCTTCATATGTACACCTGAATCTTTCTCATTCTTATATAAACTATAAAAGCAGATCAGTCCCTTCAACTCTTCTTCCAACCAGATCGCTAAGTAAGAACCCCTCATAAGCGAAATGTTGGAGTCACCACAGGCTGAAGACCCAGATAATATTAATAAACAAAGTCATTTAGCAAGCTCTCTCTCTCTCCCCCCACCCCTCCACCCAAGCTTCTATGCCTCTATTCTAATCTCCGTGAAGTTCTCCACAATCTACCTAAAGCCATTCTCCAGGACTGAGAATCTACTCAGGAGTGAGCATGCTGAGCTACTTCCTAGAAAGAGGCCCCAGTGTTGGAGACCCCTAAGGCATGTAGCACTGAGACAAGGAAGACATCAAGGTTGTGGCTGTACAGATGGGGATGTTCTTTCTTTTGTCTGTGAAAGTATGTATGGGGGACAGAATAGATTAGAAAAAGAAACAAAATAACCCGATAGTGCAGAATCTTGGAGGTGAATGTGTGCTTGGACAAGGCCAAATGCTAAAAGAATACTTCATTGTCTAGTAACTAACCTGAGGTGGGGGATGGGGGGCTGCTTGTATCAAGAAAAATGAGTTGGGGCCTCCCCTGGTGGAGCAGGTGGTTGAGCGCAGCGCTGTGAAGCTGTCCGCAGTCTCTGCAGCTCGGGTTCAATCCCGGCCAGGGGGGTGAGAATCCCACATGGCACGGCAGACCTCTCCTGTCTCGCCTGCTGCTCCCCTCAGCATGTGTTTCAGTCAGTCTGCCTGTTCTGTTCTCCACTCTGTCTCTGATGAATCCTCTCACCCTCCCGCACATCTGGCCTGTACCAGTGTTCTTGTATGCATGAATAAATAAATAAATAAATCTTTAAAAAAAGAAAGAAAGAAAGAAAAGCAAGTTGCACCAGGTACTCGGGACACCTGAGCATGAATGAGAGACCTCGCATCTCTTTGGGGCCCAATTCTCTTAGGCTATTTTGTGTCTGTCACTTCTTGATCATTTCCTCAATTCAATTGAATTCTCCTCTCAACCCTGTTCGTCGGAGCTGGGCTCCAGCACCCCGGGAAAGACTGTGCCACAAAGTCTTCAAAGCCATCCCTAGGGAGCCCAGATACAATTGGATTAACATCCTTAGTATAGCAATTTAGTCAGGGAAGGAAATTTGTCCCATCACACACTCCTTCACAAATCTACTGTTTACTGGCCCCTTGCCAAGGCAGAAGCTGATTTGTGCAGGAAAAAGTAGCTAAGGATGGAGCCCAGGCCAGCAAGACTCATGAGGTCAGGGCTCTCATTCCAGTTTGGGAAAGTTGCCTTTTTTCTCTGGCACTCGCTGTCTCCATGGAGCAGAAGGATTTCACATGACCCTTTTGTAATTCCCCCTAGAATAGTCTGATTCCGTGGTCCTTCTCAGAGCAGTGTCCTTAAACCTTGCCCTAGGGATGGCTGGATTGGGAAGGATTCTGCAGACATTTCCCTCATTTCATCACAAATCTCCCTTTGTCAGGAAAAAATGTGGGGGCCCAATCCCCAAGACTTTAGAGCAATTATCTGATCACATTCTAGCTCTGGGTCTTCTCTGGTGGGTCAAGTTGGCTGTAGCTCTCAGCAGGTTGAAGTTAATTTCACCACAGATCAAGTTCCCCATCTTGACAGTGACACAGTCCCAAATCTCTGCTCTTCTCCACCAGGAAGGGTAGGCCAAGTGAGTCACTGTAAAAGGGTCTTTCAATGAACTTCCTTGGGTACTCTATGGAAGGAGACCTTGAGTTTTGCATCAGGGGGAGGCAACGTTCTTGAAGCACAGAAAGCTGGGTCCCTGCACATGTGCACACAGTGGGGTAAGCCTGCTGTGTCAGAACACTCCAGGGGTCTGTTACTGCAACATCCATGATGAGAAGCAATGTAGGGCAGTGGGCAAGGTCATTACTCTTTGGTGATTCTTTTTCTGAGACTGGCCCACAGATCACACTCCTATTCAACAATTGAAGGGTATCTTTTGTCTAGATAAAAACTAGGGAGCTCCCAAATGCAAGCCTTCCCTATCATTCAGCCTAAGAACTCTCTGTCCTCTGGGCAGGAGTATTAGACTTTGTTTTGTCTCTGGCCTACTTTGAAGTTGCAACAATCAAATGCTGTGTTAGCTGAGAAATCAAAGTGATCATAAAACTAACATTTTCATCTCTTTAGTGGGACTATGTCTACAGTGAGCAGGTGGGAGGAGGAAGCAGAGACAAGGACTGAGCTGGCCATTTCTGCCATCTGTTCCCCAGGCCCTTGTCCTGGTCTGACCTCACCAGGGACTCACAATGTGAATATCAAAGCAGATCAAAGGCAGAAACAGGGAACCGTCATGCCCACATGAAAGGCCCTGATGCTGACCCAGCTTTGCATTCCATATCCTCTTTGGCTCCAACACCATCTGAGATAGACGACCCTGTTTCCCTCCCAAGTTGAAGGTGGGTCCAATAAGGGCTGCGGTACATGGTGAAGGCCTTAACATTAGAATATGGCAGAGTCAGAACAAGAACTCCTGTCATGTGAGCTGGCCAGTAGCTATACCCCTGCCACTGGCTCATTTCAAGTGTTATTGAACTGGGGCTCAGAGATATGGGTGTCCATGAGTTGACCACAGAGCTGACCCTGCTCCTGACCTCAATTTCCACAGGTGAGTGGGGCATTTGTGGCCCAGCTAAGACTTTGAAGCTGGTCTTGCTTATGCTCAAACTCAGTCATGCCTAAAAAGAAAAGTTATTAGCTGGGACTTGTCACTAGGGAGCCAGGCACAGCCTGCCAACAGAGGGTAAAACACTGTGGGAAGAGGGCTTTCCTCCACCCATCTCCATTTCCCACCACCCAAGCCTCGCCCCACAGCTATGGGAGGCAAATCAGACCACACAGTCCCCAGGTCATGTTCAGATCCTACACTTCCCCATGCCACAAGGCTTCCTGGAGATCCCATCCATCCACAGCCCAGACTAGGCCTGCAGGAATATGGTGGAGAAGTCAGGAAGTCAGTTTCTGGGGAGGGGCCCTGACTGAGGGCAAGCATAACAGTGTGTGTGCCTGAAAAGTCTCTGCCAAGGGCGTAGTGACCCCAGGGAGGGGGTGCTTCTTTTGTGGGCTAAATCATAGAGGAGAGTCTCATGGGAGAGAATGAAATGGTGAGGGAAGGTAGGAGCACAAAAAGTACTGCGCAGTCACCAGGCCTGCAGAAGGCCTTAAGCAAGCATGGAGAGTCACCTGCCCTACTGTACCATCAACATCAGTCTGTCAACAGGAGGACTCTGTTTCTTAGTAGGAGCTGAAAGGCCTCTCGTGTTGACCCTGGATGAGATCAGAGGTAGTGAATTGATCCAGTCCCAACAGGTCAAGCATGCACGTGTGCACACACACCCCCCCCCACACACACACACATACACATATATACAATTTTTGTCCTTAGCAAATAGGACATAAAATCCAGAAAGGGGAGAGTGAGACATGTCTTCCATTTTATTTCATATTTAGAGAGAGAGAATAAAGACTGGCAGGTTGAAAAGATGAGGCTAAATAAATATTTAACATTAAGTTAAAATAGAAATAGACCCTGCCACATAAGCAGGGTCTGTGCCTGTCTCTGTGCCCATCCAGGAAGCAAACCTGTATAGGCTACCCATGGGAAGTCCTGCACCCCCAGCACATCCAGGCTGGTCTCTCACTACTTGATGCTGCCTGCTCCAGACATTACATTCCTTGTGTTCCCTGTCCACTTGTCTGAAAGGAATTGTCTAATTCCAAGATGTTGATCCCAAAATGCCTTCTTTCCTAAGGTGCACGCATGTGCCTGATGCTCTTCCACAGTCAGAAAAGATACACAGAGCTGTAATTGAGCAGGTCCTGCAAAGCCATCTGGGTGGTGGGTCTTGTCATGCCTGCTGTTTCCACACAGGGTGCATTCCATCTGTGTGCTGGGGCAAAGGAGCCAGAGGAGGCAAGTTTTGATGGAGTCCTCCTGAGCCACAGGAAAGAAATGTTCTTTTTTTTTTTTTTTTTTTTAAGATTTATTTATTTATTTATACATGCACTGGGTACAGTCAGAAGCGCGGGAGGGTGAGAGAATTCACCAGAGCCAGAGCGGGGAGCAGAACAGACAGACTGATGAAATACACTGCTGAGGGGAGCAGTGGGCCCGGCAGGAGAGGTCTGCGTGCCATGTGGGACCCTAGCAGGCGGCCGGGTATCGAACCGGCGCTGCAGGGGCTGCAGGCAGCTTCGCAGCCCAGCGCTCAACCACTGCGCCACCAGGGGAGGCCCAGGAAAGAAATGTTCTTAATCAAAATAAGTGGATAAGGCCCAAGTAATATAAACCTGGCCAAAATCCGGCTCCCTTCGGTGAACATCTTGAGAGAAGGTTGAGGAAGTCTCAGCAGCTTCATTAAAGTAATGCAGGTCATGGAGTTGGATGGCTGGGAGGAGAGAATCCAGGTAGCATTTGAAGGGGGGAGAGTAGAGGCAGAGCAGATACAGGGGTTTTGCAATAATGAACGCCACTTGACCCCTGTCACCCTAAGTTGTGTGATGTCCTCTGCTCTGAAACATAAGTTGGTTAAATCAGAGAAATCAAAAGCAAAAAGAGTGGATTTGAGTTTCATGGACTTGTCCTGACTGGAGCAGAAGTGCTGCAACCCCACTTCTCCAGGTGCTGGGAGGTAGAACCTAACTCCTGCAGTGTGTACCTTTGATACACAATCCACCCCAATCTGATCCAACACCACATTTAAAACAGACACACCTATTTATTTTTAAAATTTTAATTGTAGTAAACTATATACAACTTATCATCTTAACTGTTTTTAAGTGTGTAGTTCAGGATATTCACATTGTTGTGCAACCAATCTCCAGAACCTTTTCATCTTGCAAAACTCTTCATTCATTAAATAATTCCCCACTAGACACCGCTATTTTCAATCATTACTTTCTACATGAGAATTTTAGCTCCTACTATCATTCCTACCTCCTCCTCCACATTTCCCCATATCTCTCCAATCTCCATTCTCTCTCTCTCTCTCTAATCACCATTCTCTCTCTCTCTCTCTCTCTCTCTCTCCTCTTCTCTTTCTCTCTCTCACCTCCCCCCCAAAAAAGTATTTGCACTCAGTTGCACGTACATGCACACACCTACCAACACATGCAAACAGCACAGTTTACTTTCAAGGCGTTATTGCCTTCACCCTTCTCTGTCTGTAACCAAGATTGACATTTACAAAAGAAGCAACACCAATTCTCCCAATTCAAAGAGAAGTAGCAGGAGTAGCTGCTAGGGGGTGTCCCTGACCAGGTGAGCCATTTACTCAGGACCCTCAAGCAGAAGGGAGCCTTGGATCAAAAAAACCTGAATTAGCACCCTCTGGGTCCAGAACTCTCTAAGGTCTTGTTGTTCAATCAAAAAGGGACTCTTCCTTAGATTTGCAGTGGAAAATGGAATCAAACCTTACTCTGTCCTTTACACTCAGTGATAAAAGTCACTCCTAGTGGTGGGTCCAGCTGACCAAAGGTGAAGTTGCTGCATGGAGACCAGGAAGGAAGAATTGTGTATGCCCATATTTTGTCACCACATGATAGAAACAAAATGCAAGCAGAGAGGCCATACAAGAGGAAAGCACGTTGATAACACTTGCACTTTCCATTGTTCTTTTCACAGAGAAAGGTATACAGACAGAGGTCGGAGGCATGTTCCAGAATCTTTTAGGCAGGCAAACAATGTTTCTTCATCACTGTGAAGTCTCCATTCCAGGGAAGAGCACCAACCAGAAAGTTGCAAAATGTTCTCTGAAAAAGACCACCACCACAATGAAGTCAGTAGTGTGCTGAAAGAAAAAGAAACGACCTGTCCTATTCCTAGGTGTCAGCTTAGCAATATGCTGGCAGACCAGCCACAGCCCAACAAGGACTGCCTCAGGAGCCTGCTAGCTGGATGCTGCAATGCTTCCAGGCAGCAGCAATTACCGGGGCAGGCAGCGAGGGGTGCAGGGGTAGATCTGTTCCAATACCAACCACAGATAGACAAAAAATACAAACAATCATCACATTTTGGTGTGAGATCAGATGTAAACTTGATTTTATCTTCAATTATTTATTACTTTCTACAATGTAAATTAAAAAATTCTATGTCAGATATAAGCTAATGTCTTTTATCTTAATAATGAAGTCATTCCCTTTTGTCTAGGAAGAAATAAGTCAAGATAAGAGTGATTTAGAGGATTCTGGGGTATAACACATACTTTATTCCAATGAGTCTTTCTCCTCCTTTCAAAAAACCACGGAAATGACAAATGGAGTATTCTCTGTGTGTGTGGTAGAATGAGCTAATAAATAGGTGGATGGAAGGATGAAAGAGTAGATGGATAGATGAGTGTGTGGGTGGATGGATGGATAGATACATAGATAGATAGATAGATAGATAGATAGATAGATAGATAGATAGATAGATAGATAGATAGATAGATAGATATAGATAGATATCTTGGGAAAATAGGAGCATCTTAAATAATCAACCAGAAACATAGAGGTCCTCTCAGGAACTATGAGGCAAGTGGGGTCAAAGAAGAAAATTTTGTCTCTGCTGAATTTTTGAATACATGCTAAAAAGGAATACAGAAGCTTCTTTTTCCCACAAACTTACAAAACATACCAAATCAAGATGATTTTATAGGCAAATTATGTCAAGCCTTGAGAACCAAAAGCTCATTTGACCTTTAATTATAGAAAAAAATGCAAAGTTCCCATTTCATTACACTACCAGGAAATACTGAAAACAAAATATAACTGAGAAATACATTGTAATACAAATTTATCTGATAAATAAGAGCAAAAATCCTAAGTAAAATATTAGCAAATTAAAAGCAGTAATTAAACAATTATTGTCCTAATACAGTACTCCCCAGACTTTTCCAGTGATATGATGTGGGGTGTGTGTACCTGGAAATTCTGATGCAATAGGTTTGGGATAAGCCATGAAATGTGCATGTGTATGCATATGCTTACCAGATGCTCCAAATAGTTCTTAAGAGCAAGAAAGCTTGAGAGTACTTAATATATATAAAAGCAAAATCCATAAATGTAAAAGTGTGATATTGAATCCCACTGTATCCTAAAAATCAAGTGCAGACACAAACCATCACCCCTCTTTCTTTCCAACGTGGACCCAGAAGAATGGCTCCAAAAAAAACAGTGGCAAGAAGAAGGGCCTACTTGTTCTATCATCAGTGTTCACAGATTCATGCAACAAGTGACCTTTGAGAAGCATGGCCTTCTCCAGCACTCTCAGAGCAAAAACTGATCATGAAAGTGATCGGATTGCCAGATGAGCCATGATATGGCTACCCCAAACCTACTGAAACTTATGCCAGGCTCAACAGGCTGTGAGGGTAGAGGAGTAAGGAATGTCCCATACTGCATTTTTGTCTAGAAAATGTAATGAAGATGATAATTCACCAAAGCAGTTCTATACATTAGTTCCCTAGGTACCTGTCAAATCTTTCAAAATCTGAAGTCAGTCAACATGGATGATAACTAACCACTGACAATTTAATTAAATTATAAAACCAGAAAGAGAAATGTGCCAAATTCCAAACATGTAAGAATGGCTTAATATTAGGAAATCTATTAGTTTAATTAATTATGGGTTCCATAGGTGAAAGAAGAAAAATTATTCAATATACTTGGTAGATGCTGAAAGAATAATTGGTAGAAGAAAACAATCTTAGTTAAAAAAATAACTCCTGATAATGAGGGATTTGGAGGAACTTCAGAAAGCAGCACTTGATATAATATTTTATCTATATTGTTTATTTATACTCTTAAAAAAGACCATATGAAAGATTAATGAAACTAAGTCTTGATTCTTCAAAAATTATAAACAAAATGAAAATATCTTGCTAGGCTATCAAAATAAAAAAGAGAAAATATTAATAAACACAATCAAGAAAATGAAAAAGGAGAAATTACCACAAATGGCATACAAAGGATCATAAGATATTACTACAAACAATTACACATCAATAAATTTGATGACCTCAAAGAAATAAATTTCTAGAGCAATATAGTCCACTAAAATTAAACCAGGAAGAAACAGAAGAGTTGCTTAACTGACCACAAGAATAGAAATTGAAATGACAAAAAAATCTTCCCCAAATAAAAACCTAGGGCCAGGTAGCTTCACAAACAACTTCTATCAAACGTTTAAAGAACCTATGCCTATCTTGCTCAAATTGTTTTTAAAAATGAAAAAGAGGGAATACTCCCTAATGTATTTTATGAAAACAACCATCACCTTGATAGAAAGCCAGGTAAAGACATCATAAGAAAAGTGAAGGCCAGTATCACTAGAGAATATCTATGCACAAATCTTCAACAAAATACTGGCAAATAGAACTCAAAAGTAAATCAAAAGATTATAAATTATAAGTCAAAAAGATCAAATAATATTTACCACAGGGATGCAAGGGTGGGTAAACATATATAATCAACACATTTTATCAAAAAAAGTAAAAATAAAAATCTTATAATATTAATATATGCAGAAAAAGCAATTGATAAGATTCAGCATAGATTTATGATAAAAGCTTTAAACTTGATGGGGATAGAAAGAACCCACCCCAATATAATAAAGATCATATATTACAAAACCAACAAGCCAACAGCCATAATGCCTAATGGTAAAAAACCCAAAGCTTTCCTTTTAATCAAAAATAAGGCAAGGATGCCTACCATCACCACTACTGATTAACTTAGTATCAGAGGTTTTGGCCAGAGCAATCAGATAAAACAGGTAATAAAAGGATTCCAAGCTGAAAAAGAAGACATGAAACTATCTTTATTCACAGATAATATGATAATATCTTAAGATTCCACTGAAAGGCTATTAGGAACAATGACAGTAGATAACAACGTGACAGATTATAAAATCAATATGTAAAAACCTATTGCATTTTCATATACAAACAACAAATGTGAACAGAAAGAATTTTTTTAATTCATTAATTTTTTAATGATTCCATTCAGAATCATTCCAAAAAGAATCACACTTTGTAATTAACTAAAGAGATGAAGGACCCATGCAATGAGATCCAGAGACACTATTAAAGTCCTTCATCACATAAGTAGAAGAAAGGATACGTCATATCATGCATGAGGAGAAGAAATATAATCAAAATGACTGTCCTGCCTGTAGCAATATGTAAATTTAATGCAATCTTCATCAAAATACCAATATTTTTCAAAGAAATTGAACATAAATATTGAAATTTATTTGAAACCACAAAAGACCTCTAATTTCTAAAGCAATGCTTCAAAAAAAAAAGAAGATAAATGAAGGCATGATATCACCTAACTTCAAATTTTAGTATAAAATAATTACATTAAAAACAATATGGTGCTGGCACAAAAATAGGTCCATGGACCAGTGGAACAGAATGGAAGCCCCAGAAATACAAATACATAACAATACTTCATTTGTGATAAAACAGTCATGACCATTCAGTGGGGAAAGGAGAGTCTTCTTAATAAATGGTGCTGGGACAACTAGAAAGCCACATATAAAAGAATTAAGTTGGTTCACTCTCTTATTCCAGGCACAAAAATAAATTTGAAATGTATAAAAGCTTTAGATAGTAGATCTGCAATAATCAAATACATAGAAGAAAGCATCAATGATATATTTATGACATCAACAATAAAGGTATTTTTAGAGACTCAGTCTCTATAGCAAGGGGAATAAAAATGAAATAGACAATTGGGATTACCTCAGACTAAAACACTCTTATACACAGGAAAGAAAATGTAAGATAATTAAACACATAAAACATCTTACTGAATGGGAGAAATTCTTCACATAACCAATGAGGGGTTAATATCCAAGATATATAAAATAGTGATACAATTCAACAGTAGAGAAACAAACAAAAAAAAAAATACTAAATGGGAGGAGGGAGAAAGGGACAAGGGAGCAGAAGGGGAGCAGAAAAGGTTAAATTCAATAAATTTTAAAAATGCAAATCTTTGGATCCTATTCCAGACTTACTGAATCGGAAACCATAGGTGGGACCCAGCCTTCTGGGTCTATGCTGGTCCTCTGGGTAATTATGATGCCTACTTACACTGGAGAACCACTAATATAAAAATAGGGGCAACCCCACGGAAAGCCTGAAATTTCACCAATCGCAGACATGGCACTTGGATGGACAACATGGTACATTCTCCACCTCTACTATCAAGAAATACAAACTGGGGCCTTCCTGGTGGCGCAGCAGGTTGAGCACCGCCCTGTGAAGCTACCCGCAGCCTCTGCAGTGCGGGTCCGATTCCCATCCAGACAGGGAGATTCCCACATGGTGCAGCAGACCTCTCCTGCCTTACCCACTGCTCCCCTCAGCAGTGTCATCTGCCTGTTCTGCTCCCCGTTCTGTCTCTGGTGAATTCTCTCACCCTCTAGCACCTATGGTCTGTACCCCAGTTCTTGTATAAATAAATAAAACAAAAAAAAAAAAAAAGAAATACAGACTGGACGAACAACCCAGTCAAAAAATAGATAGACCTAAAAAGACACTTCTCCAAAGAAGAAATTCAAACAGCCAATACATATGAAAAAAAGAAGTGCAATATCACTAATTAACAGGAAAATGCAAATCAAAACCCCAATGAGATACCATCTCACTCCAGTAAGAATGGTCCACATTAAAAAAATATATATATGGAAACAAATGCTGGAGAGAATGTGGAGCTAAAGGAACCCTCTTAAGTTGGGGGTGGGAATGTACACTGCTCCAGCCACTGTGGAAAGCTGTGTGGAGGTGCCTCAGAACAAGTGAAAATGGATCTACCACACGATCCAGTGATTCCACCCCTAGGAATCTACCCAAAGGACACAAAAACATTAGTTCAAAAGGAAACCTGCAGCCTCACGTGTATTGCAGCACTATTTACAATAGCCAAGATATGGAAACAACCCAAAGGCCTCAAAATAGATGAATGGATCCAAAGTTGTGGTATATTAACACAACAGAATAAAACAATAAAAAAAGACATATTCATGCCATTTGTGACAACATGGATGGAGCTGGAAGGGATTATGCCAACCAAAATAAGTCAAAAAGAAAAAGATAAATACCAGATGGTCTCATTTACATGTGGAATATAGAGAAACCAACAAAAGGTCAAGAAAAAGTCAAAACTAGCAAGCTGGCCATAGATCTGAGGTACACAGCATAGGAGAGGGAGTGAGGTCAAAACAGAGGAGGGATAAATAGAAGGGAATATGGTGATAGTTCATGGGTGTTATGGTGGTAGGAGAACTATGGAGAAGACAACAATGTAAGAAAAAAATATCGAATTTTTATTTATTTATTTATTTTTATAAAAGCTGGGGTACAGGCCAGAGGCGTGGGAGAGTGAGAGGATTCACCAGAAGCAGAGCAGGGAGCAGAACAGGCAGACGACAGGAGAGGTCTGCCGCGCCATGTGGGATTCTCACTGGCTGGGATTGAACCCGTACTGCAGAGGCTGCAGACAGCTTCACGGTGCAGTGCTCAAACCGCTGTGCCACCCGTGGAGGCCCAATAAACCATATTTTTGAAATAAATTAGAAAGAAAAGAAACACAGGCTTGTGGGCCAAGTCAGCCCTTTGGTGTGAGTCTTTGGATTGTCCCCTGACTAGATGGACGGGGGCACTATCTGATTTAGTCGTTGTTTAATCTCCAACACTTGGAATAAAACCTGGTGCAAAATAAGCTTTGATGAACAAATGAGTACATGAATGGCTATTCTTTGGTGCCTTCTTGAGGCCCAGCAGCTGTGGGACCAGCAACAGCTGTATTGCTCATTGACTCCAAAAGGGCAGACTTTCAGTGAATAAGTATTTTTTTAAAGATTGATTGATTGATTGATTGATTGATTTATACAAGAACCGGGTACAGGCCAGATGCACGGGAAGGTGAGAGGCTTTACCAGAGACAGAACAGGGAACAGAACAGGCAGAGTGACGAAATACACTGCTGAGGGGAGCAGCGGGCGAGGCAGGAGAGGTCTGCCACACCATGTGGGACCCTCACCGGCTGGGATCAAACTGGCGCTGCAGAGGCTGCGGACAGCCTCATAGCGTGGTGCTCAACTGCCTGAGCCACCAGGGAAGACCCCTTCAGTGCATAAGTATTGACAAGCTTTCCTGAACCAAAAAGCCAGCTGATGCAACCCTTGCCTAAAGGTAACCTTGACCACATCTCAGCCTATGGGGAGGAGTGAGCAAAGAATCGGAGGGTGCCACTGTGTTCTGCTGGCCTGTGTGTTCTACTCCCAAATCCACAGGGGCTAAATATTGGCACTGAGTGTGGTGGAGGATTATTGGGGCACTGCTGGTAGGTGCGGTGTGAAAATATACATCTGTAGAGGCTTAAGCCTATAACCCCCAAATACACAATCCTACTTTACTTCAATAAACATAATTTGAAAAAAAATGTTGGGAATGATCCAGACCCCAAAGGAGGTTCTAGTCACCCCAAGTTCCTCTGTCTAGAGATCAGAGCAGTCAAGACAATTGAAGATACTTGGTTTGTTACCTACCTTTTCCAGTTTGGAGTTTTCTTGGACAGCACAGTTTTCATTATTGTTTAAAGGCTTTTTGCAATTGCTGCGGGCAATTTCAACATCGATAAAGTATTCCAAACGATCTGTGACCTGCCAATTGGCAATGTGCAATGTGATTCAAAGTTTTATTTTTAGAAGTTTTATTAAAAACTTAAAAGTTTTATTAAAAACTCTCATCCTCTTACCCCATTCTGCACCTCTACCTCCATAGATCCTTCGGGGAAGGTCTGTGTTGCCCACTGCCCTGTGCTCCCTGGCAGACTGACACCAGTTACTCCCTAGAGCTATATACTCAGGGAAAAGGCTCTTTCCCAGTGTGGAAGCTCCTTGAGGGCACAGCCTTCTAATCCTGTTTTCTGTCCCAAAGTCCAGGTCATGCCTTATACTCACGGAAAAGTTGGGGGAAAAGGATGCGTCTCCAGAACCATCAATTGTCCAGCCCCCAGATACTACATGTTCACATGGGCCAGATGAGAAGACAAGCCCCTGGCCACATTGCCCACCCCCTTCCTCATACTGTGCTCACGTGCACGCAAGGGTGCCTTCACACACACACATACACACACACACACACACACACACACACACACACCCCTCAGATCCTATCCTCTGGTGAAATTGCCTGTCCTTTGAGGCTTCCCCACCTACAACTCCCCCACCCCATCTTCCCAACAACTTGCTGATAAGGGTACAGTGTGTCTTTCTTGTTCTTTGCTAAGTGTGTAGTAAGCAGAACTGCACCAAGTTTAAGGAAAATCCTCAGAAGTTACCGAGTTTGTTCACTATTGGCTATGGTTAAGGCTGTTCCTGATGTCCATTTAGACCTGCGTTATCTGGTTTTAAAAGATTTTAGCAGGAGGTGAAATAGTGTCTGTGAGTTGGGTCCAGGTTCATCTGTACTTACCTTTTTCTATCAGAGCTTTCTGCATGGAGCTCTGCTAAGCCTTTCATAAGCCTTTCATAAAGTTGTGATAAAGTTGTGTTAAAGTTTCGCTGTGTATTAAAGAATTCACAAGGGAGAATCTAGCCTTCGTCTGGCCTTATGGGGGGTGGGAGGTGGAGATGGTTATATGCCATCAAGAAGTGAATAGCACAACTACCCTTTGGTTTAGCAGTTAAATTTATGCTGAGGAAACCCGGAAAAGTCCATGGATGTTAACCCAGTCACCAACAGGACTTTGAATGACTCGCAATATTTGTAGTGCTCATTGAGCACGTGCTCTCTCAGGCACTGTTCTTTGGGACCTTACAATAACTCAGTTAACTCACACCAACCATTTGGGGTAAGCTGTCACTCCCATTTTTTTTAGGTAAGGAAAATGAAGCACAGAGGAAGTAAGTGTAACACTCTAGCAAGTGGCTGAGCAGGTTCAAGCCAAGGCATCCAAAATCAGACATTGCATCTCTACCCACTATCGCCCACTCTGCTTATGCCTCTGCCCTCTGCAGATGCAGCCATGGGAGGGCAGAGGATTGCTATGATTCCAGAAATATCGACCTAACTGTGGAAGCCGGAGGCCACTGTTCCATGGAGATCTTTGTTGACTCCTCACAAAAATAAGTTAACAAGAGTGATAGTTGTAAATCCCACAACTGATTCCATGATCCTAAGAAGACCCTGGCCTTATTTTTTTTTTAATTTTTATGTTGTAGTTGTTATTTTATTTATTTTTATTATTTTTTTGATGTGTATATATACACAAGGGAATATTATTCAGCAATCAAAAAAGATAAACTCATGCCATTCGCAGCAGCATGGATGGAACTAGAAGGAATTATGCTCAGTGAAATAAGCCAGAAGAAAAAAGAAAAATATCAGATGGTTTCACTTATAGCAGGAATATAGGGGAACCAAATAAGACATCAGTGTAAAAAAAATAATAACAGTACAAAACACAACAAAGCAAAAACTGGCCTCATGTTTTCCTGGCTTTTCAGTGTTCCTAAGATAGAATAAAAGTCTTGCCCATGGCCTATAAGGCCTGGAATAGTCTTGTTTTAGCCCACCCTGGCCAGTCCCACTGGTGCCTTAGAGTTGCTAAAATGGGCCACAATCCTTCCCACTGGCAGCTTTCCATACCTGACTGCTCTCCCTACCCCATAAACCCCCCGAGATCCTCCCTAATTCCTATCTGTAGAAGTTGCTGTGAATGGTGGCCCATACCCCTGCTCTTCCAGAACACATTGCCAGTTCCTGGGCCCCTGCCCACAGGGCTTCCTGCCTCTGGGAACCAAGGGCTCCCAGAGCAGCTCTCAGTCAATGAATGATGGGAGTTGGTAGGTAAATAACACAGCTCCCTATATGCAGGTGGCCCAATTCCAAGGCAGGCTCTGGCTCCTCTCCCTGAGGCTCCCAGGAAAGCCAAGGCCAGCTTCCCACAGTAGGCAGTGACTCAGGGTAGGGTCAGGTAAAAAGCATCAGGCTTTTGTGCCCTCCCACCATTAGGATAGATGACGGAACCCTGTGGTCCCGAATGCATGCCTGATAGCGGGCACCTGGAGTAGGGTGTGGGCATATGTAGATGGGAGTCACCTGGGCTAAGACTGGGCTTTTAAGGGCAGCATCACGGGGGGACCAGAAGCTGAGAAGAAGCAGAAGCAGAACCACAAGAGAATGCCGGAGAGTCCAGACAGAGTGAAGACTTGCTGGGGGCTGGGAGGCCTGCCAGCCTCCCTCACCCCCAGCCCCCCTGCCTGCCGTGTACCTGGTAATCCCAATAAAAGCCTGCAAAAGCCACTGAGGGCTCCAGAACTCTCTCCTCTTTTACCCCGTCTGCATAGTATCATAGAAAACTTGCACTGTGGCCCATCTGCCCCTTACACTCAGTAACTCACCTGCACTTCCACTCTCCTGCCCTCTCTCACTTTCCCTCTGGCCTCCTGGCTTGTCCATAGATGGTCTCCCCAATAAACATCTTGAACTTGAATTCAAACACTAGTATGTACTTCTGGTAAAACCCCAACTAAAACACTTCCCATTTGCCTTCTTCACCTGTAGCTCCTAGATATTTTTAAGGTTGCATCTTCAACATCACTCCCTAGAGAGGTGAGCTCTCTTCCTTGACTATGTATTGAGATCATCTGGAGGCTTTTAACACCAATTGAGATCTGTGTCCCAACCAGAGATCTTCATTTAATCCATCAAGATGTAGTTGATGCAGTGGGATATTTACAAGTTCCTCTGGTGAACAACACTATCAGAGGAAGCCTTCCTTGACCTCTGACCCCTGTGAACCCTGCCATCAGGACAGACATCACAATTCACTTTCCTGGTTTCAGTGTTTTTCTAATCACACTGCCAGCTTCCTAAGGTCTGTGATCATTTCTGACCATATCCACCCATCTACAGAGACATTCATAGACATGGCTTAGAAAGATTCTTGCTACATCCATATGACTTGGTTCCAAACAAAAAAAAAAAAAAACTGAGAATGGGGAAAGGGAACTTACAAGACCCAGGACCCATTCCTTTATTTCAAAGGACAGCTGAGGAGCTTCTGAATGGACTGTGAAGTGTAACCAATTGATAAAGGGTAATACGTGATCAGGAGAATAGAACATATGGCAACAAGGTGCTGATGACCCAAAGAATTGAGATCATAATTGCCTCCTGACCCAGCTCCTCCTAGCAGAGGCAGGATGGAGAATGTAAACTCTGCCAAAAATAACCCATGTGTTGAATGTATTTACAATGCATTCCTACAAGTTTCTTGGTGCAATAGCAAGACATACCACCAACCAACCAACCAACCAACCGACTGAGACCAGTAAGATCAGCTGAATTTCAACACCAAGAGCCTTTTCTCTAATATGACAAGGGTCAAGTGTTGCAAACTCCAGAGAGTGTCAGCTAAGTTTGAACCCAAGTAAGCAAAATGTCCTAGCCTTGGGCAGTTCATGGCCCTGTGGGAAGGGAACATTTCTATAAATAGAAAATCTGAATGTCTCTTGTTCCACTAAATATATGTCAAAAGAAATATAGAATATAAGAGGGGCACTTTATTAGCTTATACAACAGATATCGCCACATGTCTCTTCTCAATGCCACCTTCCATGTAATTAGAATAAGCTGAAATATTGTCCATGGCAGTATTATAATATTGCAAAATATTCCTGGCACTCCATTTGTCTCCCAACCACAAGTCATGAGCATTTAATTTGCAGTTTGAGAATTAAGTGACTTAATGCATGCAAAGTAGTTAGAACAGCAGTTCAAGAAGATGAACAAAGTGCTCTGGTGTCATGGGGACACATTAGTGTACATGCCCTTGAATACACCAACTTAGGATTTCTGTACATCAATATTTTCTCACATGCCCAGTTTGTCAACTTGACTTCAATCTGCACATTTGTGGAGAACACCCTTACCTGTAGCTGAGCTTGTATTATCTTCACCACCTGGAAGAGGTATTTATCCTTACTCTCTTTGTTGTACTCTTGCATGGCAAACCACAAACACTGCTTCACGTTGGCATTGGAAGTATTGATGACTTTCAATTCCCTCAGCACCTTGATCTTATTCTTTTCTGGGTCTTGGCTGACCACCAGGGCCACCAGAATGGTGAGCAGTAACAGACAGCACGCTTGGCACCTATTCATTCTCAGTGGGGCATGGAGGGTACAGAGAGCCTCCTCTTCCTCTCAGGGCTGGAACCGTGTGGAGTGAGGTAGACGCTGCTGTCCCTAAAGGTTCAAAAATCTTACCATGACAGCATCAACCCAGCTAGATTCTAAACAGAACCGTTAGGGTCACCTTTTAAGACTGTGCCTGTCCTCCCAGGAAACCCACCCAAGAAAAGCAGTTAAGGAGTCTGTGCTCCCAGGCTCTCCTCCTCTTTATCCTTGAAGTGACCGGAGGTTACTGGAGAGCGCTTACACCCAGATGTGCCACCCCTGGCCTTGGGCACCTCACCTTCACTCCTGTTTCTGTGTCTCAGACCTCCAAGATGTGAACATAAGGGTGTTGCTGTGCTGAGGCTCCCTGGCACATTGGGCTCTCTGTGGCCTTTCCAAACTGCTCTACCTGCCAACTGCACCTTCCTCTCGGTGGGTTGGGCTCTGCCCTATACCCCAACCTGTGGTTCTCCAGGGTCTCCGGCACCCCCAATTTATGCCTATGCCCTGGTCAGGGGCCACCCTTGCTCCTGAGCTCTGGTCTGTTCACCTTCGGTGTCCTTGTTCCTGCAGGGAGGTCACACTTTGTGATGTAATCCTGTGTCAGTTGGTCTGAGCAGCTCACACACAGCAGCCACAGGCTTTCTGCCTCTTGCCCTCAGAGAGGAGGGCCCTCAGAGTTCTCCTGTCCACCTGAGTCAGGACCCTAAATGCCTGACTTCTGGACACCCTCTGTTTGAGTCACTCCCTCCTCCCCCTGCTATCCTGCCAAAGCAAGGGTTACACACCCACACTGATCCCAGACCTGTGCCTTAGCAGGACAAGCATGAGTCCCTGCGCTCTTCTAGACTCTTCCGATCTGTGAAAATCCCAAATTGCTGTCCAACAAGTTCTGAGAAGTATGGAAATGGACACTGGTCCCAGAGTACAAAGACTGATGGGCTTGTAAACCTAATGCAAAATTTTCTGGGCACCTTCCCCCATCCCTCATCTCTTGGGTAAATGAACAAAGTCACCCTCACATACTCCATCTTCTATGGAGGGATCTGCTCCTTCAGGGAGTAAGTCAGTCTTTTCAGCTAAAAATAGGATTTAATGGTTGATAACTAGTTTCGCTTCTCTGCAGTACGTTCATTAGAATGGAAGGGATTATATCACACGTTGCTTTCCCCTAGTATCAGCACATCTTTAGGTCAGAGCAATTTAGAACCAGAAGCCCATCCTATCAGGAATAATTACATTCTTAATGTCAACGGCTCACTATTTTTACCTATGTAATCTAAATTCAAACTTGTGTTAATAGGAACAGCTCTCACAGAGTAAAAACTTATTGGACTGCTTTCTAGATTTGAAACCTCACTTTTTAGTATCTAATCAACTCTTTGTCTAATTATTGGTTAGATTTTATTTTCAGTGACCAGGCTCTTGACCATGAAATGGGACATTGTACAGGAAACACCATAGAGACATGGATCTTCCAGGCAAGTTGGAAAACATCAGAGTGTGAACATAACATATTGTGTTTGAACCATTTGCCTATTGATGGATTTGTGTGTGTGTGTGTGTGTGTGTGTGTGTGTTTCTTATTTTTAGCTGTTAAAAACACTAGTGTAATAGACAATATTTTTCTATTATCTTTGTGAAACTGCATGAACATTTCTGTATAATGAAAGACTGGTTGGAGAAATGATGCAAAATGTTTACACAAATTTGAATTTAGTATATATTGCTGAATTGCTAGTCACTAGTAATGTCAGTCACTGGCATGTGAGCAGAAGCCCTGTCCTTCCCAGTAACATCAGCTGAGTAGAGACCCAAGACACATGGCAAATTGGTGGGTTCTCCACCAACACCCCTTCTTGCTGGTGGTTTAATTGTCAATGCCCCAGCATCTTAATTGCCAAAGTACCAGCAGTTTAATTGCTGAAACTCTCAGCTCCACCCCTATTTCCCATCAGCCCCCACTCAAAGGGTAGAGTTTGGAAAACCTTACCTACTACCATCAAGTTTGCTATAAGCACCACCACTGACTGGGAGGTTGCCTCACTGTTCCCCTTACAGGCTTGGGATTATGATGGGTTTGGGCTTGTGCAGTGGAAGAAGAATGACAGGGTGCCAGGATTGTAGTGAGACTTGAAGAGTCTTTGCATGCATTTTTCTACTTGTCTATGTATTCTCGGGTGCTTTTGCAGGGTAAGTGTGGGGAGGGGGACTGGGCTGTCAGTTGTTAAATAACACATATCCAACCAAATTCATTGTAAATATATAACTGACTTTATTAAACAGTTCATGAATCAAGCATCATCCCACCTAAGAAGTAGAAAGGCATTCTAAAAAGTTGTACAAAATGAAAGTTTTTATATGCAGAAGTAAGGCTACGTGAGGAAAGGGAGGTTATTTCAGGCTTAGATAACCTACCCACGGGGAATGAGAAAAGGTCTTATCTCATTTTTCCTTTGGGGAATGTATAAAAAGGACAACTGATCAGAAAATTCTATATTGCCCAGTCGGCGCTACATTCCTGCAGGACATTCACACTGCAGATAGGTCAGGTATTAAGTCTTGGTGGGCTTAGTGCAGGCACCTCCATTTGGGGCCTATGTTTCCTTTTCAAAGAAACCACCTAGCTTGAGAATACATCATGTGGAAGTACCTAGTGTCTGGGCCGTTGGTCTGGGAACTCCTGGTGTGAAACAATCTAATTTGAGCCCCAGAATACATGTGGAATAGACCCAAACTAACCCAGAGTGAGCTCAGCCTGAAACATCAACTTAAAGTGAAGTCACACTTACGTCTAGACGTGCCTCTAGACATAATGCCTGACATACAGTTCTTGATGGCAGGGCGTCCATATTAGAAAAGCCCGTCTTTTTCATAACAGGCAATCTCATAAAATGTTGTAGATTTCATGCATATAAAGAATTTCTAAAATACATGTCAGTTTTTCTATTGTGTGCTTGTTTTATACCTTTCAAGTATAAGTTTAATCCCTACTGATTTGAGAAAACTAGTAACTGGACTGAATCTGGAGAGATCTCTCCAGGGCACAGTCAAACAGGAAAGGTTACTCCTTCTTCTGACTGACACCATCACTCAAAATCTAATAGAGTGGGTTCATCAGTGACAGTGGTGATAGACCCCAAATTTATCCACCTTGTCAAAAACCCTCACACACCCCTGATTCTGACCATTGAGTGTGACCATGTTTTTAATCTCATGTGCTGTGAAAGCAGAAACAAAGGAAAGACACAGACCACGCAAAAATCCACTCGCTGCAATTTACATAATTTCTAAATATTGAAGCTCCTAAAAAAACCATTTCCCATCCTTGACCACAAATGCCAATCACCCGAAGATTTTAAGTATTTCTGATGTGAAGTCACAACAATTTTCTATGGTAGAGATGGAGAATGTGCCTGATCTCTAGATGATACAAAACATGAAATCTATGTGGTTTTTATGTGGATCAAAGTAGAAAACAACTGACATATGTGAAAAAATCATGACACCAGGGCTTCGCAAGGTGTATTGAGAGTTGAGGTGAAGGTGCTCACCTGTGAACATCAGGTAGAGTTCATGGATGATCCAGCAGTCTAGCTCTCCATAGCACAGGAACAATGGTTATCTCCTTTAGACCCTGAGTGTTTTTATTGCCCAAGGGTAGTCAGTAGGCCAGTTTCGCTGACCACAAAGCTGCCCTTGTGAATTTTCATGTGTTCCTTTTCTTTTTTTTTTTTTTTTTTTAGGATTTTGTCAGTTCTTTTATTCTTATTTTATTTTAATTTTATTTTAAATAATAAATTTTATTTTTATATTCCCCATACAATTGCAGCCCCCCCATTCTGACCCCAATCCCTCCCCTCCCGTCCCCGCCCCCCTAAAAGTGTCTCTGGTTCATAGCTTTTTGTTGATTTTGATTTTCACTTTCTTATAGTTATTCATTTTCCTGGTCCCTTATTTAAGTTTTCTAGATTCCTGCTATGAGTGAGACCATCCGGTATTTTTCTTTTTCTTTTTGGCTTATTTCGCTGAGCATGATCCCTTCCAGTGCCATCCATGTTGCTGCAAATTGCATGTGCTTATCTTTTTTGAATGCTGAGTAATATTCCATGGTATATATGTACCACATCTTCTTGAACCAGTCATCTATTTTTGGGCATTTGGGTTGTTTCCAAAGCTTAGCTATTGTAAACAGTGCTGCTATAAACATAGGGGTGCAGGTGTTCTTTGGAATTGATGTTTCTGTGTCCTTTGGGTAAATACCTAGGAGTGGAATTGCTGGATCATATGGAAGCTCTATGTTTAGTAGGTCCAGGAATCTCCACACAGCTCTCCACAGTGGTTGGACCAGTTTGCACTCCCACCAAGAGTGCAGAAGAGTTCCTTTTTCTCCACACCCTCGCCAACATTTGTTGTTACTAGTTTTTTTAATATGTGCCATTCTCACTGGTGTAAGATGGTATCTCATGGTAGTTTTGATTTGCATTTCCCTGATGACAAGTGATGTTGAACATTTTTTCATATGCCTGTTGGCCATTTGCATTTCCTCTTCAGAGAAGTTTCTTTTTCGCTCTTCTGCCCATTTTTTGACTGGATTATTTTCTTTGTTGTTGTTGAGTCTCATCAGCTCTTTGCAGATTTTTGTGATCAGTCCTTTATCATTAGTGTTGGGTGCAAAAATGTTCTCCCGGTTGGTGGGGTTTCTCTTTGTTTTTGTTATTGTCTCTTTTGCTGTGCAGAAGCTCTTTAATTTGATGGAGTCCCAGCTGTTTATCTTTGCCTTCACTATCACTGCTTTGGGTGATGTGTCTGTAAAGATGTCTTTGATGTGCAAATCACGTAGTGTTTCGCCTATATTTCCTTCTATATATTTTGTGGTTTCAGGTCTTATGTCTAGTTCTTTAATCCATTTTGAGTTGGTTTTTCTGCATGGTGTGAGATAGTAGTCAAGCTTCATTCTTTTGCATGTAGCGACCCAGTTTTCCCAGCACCATTTATTGAACAAACTTTCTTTGCTCCAATGCATAGTCTTTGCTCCTTTGTCAAAGATTAGTTGACCATAACTCTGTGGGTTTATTTCTGGATTTTCTATTCGATTCCATTGGTCTGTATGTCTGTTCTTGTTCCAATACCATGCAGTTTTGATGATTATGGCTTTGTAGTATAGTTTGAAGTCTGGGAGTGTGATGCCTCCATTCCCTTCTTTTTTTTTTCAGGAGAGCTTTGGCTATTCGGGGTTTTTTGTGATTCCATATGAATTTCATCAATAATTGTTCTATTTCTTTGAAGAATGACATTGAAATTTTGATTGGAATAGCATTAAATCTGTATATTGCTTTTGGAAGGATGGCCATTTTAATAATGTTTATTCTTCCAATCCATGAGCAGGAGATGTCTTTCCATTTCTTTGTGTCTTCTTCTATTTCTTTTAACAGTGTTTTATAGTTTTCTTTGTATAGGTCCTTTACCTCTTTTGTTAGATTTATTCCCAAATATTTGATTTTTTTTTGTTTCAATAAAAAAAGGGATGGTTTTTTTGATTTCTTCTTCTTCAGATTTATTGTTTGTGTATAGGAAGGCTACTGACTTTTGCGTGTTGATTTTGTATCCTGCCACTTTACTGAACTGATTGATGCCAACCAAGAATACTCTATCCCTCAAAGCTCTCCTCCTTCCTCTTTGAAGAAAGAATATGGACCTTCCCAGACAAACAGAAACTCCGGAATTTCATTACAACTAAACCCCCACTCCAAAAAATACTACAAGGAGTCCTAAAGCCAGAACCACAGAGGGACGAATAACAATGAAAGAAGGCCAAAAAAAAAAAAGTTATTAAAAGAATAAATAAATAAAATCAAAGGAAAGACAAACACAATGGCAAATACAGATGCTAACATATCAATATTAACTCTAAATGTAAATGGACTAAACTCTTCAATAAAAAGACACAGAGTTGCAACCTGGATTAAGAAACAAAACCCAACCTTTTGCTGTCTCCAGGAAACACATTTAGCTACAAAAGATAAAAATAGGCTCAAAGTTAAAGGATGGAAAACAATCCTACAAGCAAATGGACCAAAAAAGAAAGCAGGAACAGCTATACTTATATCAGATAAAACAGATTTCAAACTCAAAAAGATAAAAAGAGACCCCAATGGTCACCACATTATGATCAAGGGGACAATACTTCAAGAAGAAATAACACTCATTAACATATACTCACCAAACGAAGGAGCACCAAAATATATCAGACAACTGTTGTCCTCTCTGAAAACAGACATCAGAGAAAACACATACGTAGTAGGAGACTTCAACACACCACTATCAACAATGGATAGATCAACAAGACAAAAAATAAGTAAAGAAACCAAAGCTCTAAATAAGGACCTAGAGCAATTGGGCTTAACAGACATTTATAGAACACTAAACCCCAAAAAAACGGAGTACACATTTTTCTCAAGCGCACACGGATCATTCTCCAGGATCGATCACATACTGGGGCACAAGACAAACATCAACAGATACACCAAGATTGAAATCATATCAACCATCTTTTCTGACCATGAAGGCATCAAACTAGAAATAAACCATAAAAAGAAGGCAAGGAACTTTCCTACCTCATGGAGATTAAAAACCACACTACTGGAAGACCACTGGACTAACGAGGAGATCAAAGAAGAAATTTAAAAATTCTTTGAATTGAACGACAAGGAGGACACCAATATCCTAAATGTATGGGATGCAGCAAAAGCAGTAATAAGAGGAAAATATATAGCAATAGAAGCTCACATCAAGAAACAAGAAAGAACTCAAAGAAACAACCTAATCTCGAAGCTCAAAGATCTAGAAAGAGAACAACAAAAAAACCCCAAAACCAGTAGAAGAAAAGAAATAATAAAAACCAAAGCAGAAATAAATGAAATTGAAACTAAAAAAACAATCCAAAAGATCAATGAAACCAAGAGCTGGTTCTTTGAAAAAATCAATAAAATAGACAAACCCCTAGCCAGGCTCACAAAGGAAAAAAGGGAGAAAGCACAAATAAACAGGATCATCAATGAAAGAGGAGAAATCACAACGGACACAGCAGAAATCAAAAGAATAATCAGTAACTACTATGAACAGTTATATGGAAACAAGTTCAACAATCTAGAGGAGATGGACAAATTCCTACAACTCTCCAATCACCCAAAGCTAGATAAAGAAGAAATAGAACACCTAAACAGACCAATTACAAGCAGTGAAATTGAAATGGTAATCAAAAACCTCCCCAAAAACAAAAGCCCAGGGCCTGATGGATTTACAAATGAATTCTACCAAACATTCAGAGACGAATTAGTGCCTGTCCTTCACAAACTCTTCCAAAAAATTGAGAAGGAAGGGACAATACCAAACACGTTCTATGAAGGCAACATTACACTAATACCAAAACCGAATAAGGACAGCACAAAAAAGGAAAACTACAGGCCAATCTCCCTAATGAACACTGATGCAAAAATCCTCAACAAAATTTTAGCTATCAGAATCCAACAATGTATCCATAAGATAATTCACCACGACCAAGTAGGATTCATTCCAGGGACACAAGGATGGTTTAACATCCGAAAATCAATCAACGTTATCCAACACATCAACAAAAAGAAATATAAAAACCATATGATAATATCAATAGATGCTGAGAAAGCTTTCGACAAAGTGCAACACCCATTCATGATAAAAGCCCTTGAAATTCTTGGGATACAAGGAACATACCTCAACATCATAAAGGCCATCTATGACAAGCCAACAGCCAGTATCATTCTCAATGGTGAAAAGCTGAAAGCAATTCCATTAAGATCTGGAACAAGACAAGGATGTCCACTCTCACCACTGCTTTTCAATATAATACTGGAAGTCCTAGCCAGGGCAATAAGACAAGAGAAAGACATCCAAGGAATCCAAATAGGAAAAGAAGAAGTCAAACTATCACTATTTGTAGATGATATGATAATATACATAGAGAACCCCAAAAACTCATGTGTTCCTTTTCAATTGAGGGGAGATGTTACACTTTCTATATACAAATCAGTCAAAAACCAAAGGTGACCCAAGCCACTAATTTTGTATAAGACCCAGGAAGCTGTCTCCAAATGTCTTAGTAAACCCTGTACCAACACCTCTTCTTGAAAAGTGTTAATCAAAAAAGAGGCAGACTTTTAACTAGAAAGCACTCAAATCAGATCCCCACAAATGCATAAAGGAGATGAAAAGACCTGTCAACCTCTCATTCTGAGGCATTCCTCCATGGGATTACCACTGTCTCTCTATCCCCAGATATGCCCCACACCCCCTATCTCTCTATTCTGCAGGGATGCTCACCACCAGGATCCAAGAAGAGAGAGATGCTCATCAGGTTGGGTGGAATGGAGGAATATAGATATCTGCAGGGAAGGTAGGGACATGGAGACTAGAGCTATTTGCCTTCTCAGTTATCATCAGAGGCCTAGAAAATACTTTCTTGTCAGCATCATATCTCCTGGTACAGATGCTTTAAGGGGGTCCAAAGCCAGCAGAGTCTTCAGTAATCTTCAGTCACCAACTTCTCACCCTGTGCAGAACAGTCACCCTATTATGAACCTAGTCCCAGACATGGAAGCAGAGGTGATACAGATGTATATACCTGTCAAAATTGTCTACATTCTTTTTGAGTAGAGTCAATGCATGAATGAACAAACAAGTAGAAGGATGGATGGATGAATGGATGGATGCGTGGATGGATAGATGCATGGATGGAATATTGCATGAATAGATAATGAAGAGATAAATTAGTGGATAATTGATGGATGGATGGATGAGTGAAAGGGAAGATCGATGGAAGACTGAATCAATAGATGATGGATGATGGGTAGATGAATCAATGGATAATAGGTGGATGGACAAATGATGGATGGCTGAATAGACAGATGGATGGAATGAATGGATGATGGGATGATGGAATAAATGGATTGTGATGGATAGATGGATGGATGGCCAAAGAGCAGTGAAAAAAATGAATGAATGAGTAAACATAACATCTAAGAAACAGTAAGGAGAGCCTCAATGAACTGAGGAATTTGACTTACTAAATAGCCTACATCTACAAGCACGGTAAGACATTAATGATAAATTCTCCTGACTCCTAACTGGCATCAACATCCAAGGAAAACAAATGATAAGAAAGAGTACAAAACTGAACAGGATCCAGAAAATGCTCTGAGATGCCTTTATTTGTTCTAGTGCTGAACAAACATAGGACTATAGACAATCTGTCAATCTCCATAGTAAAAGAAATCTGTTTCCTGAGAAAAGACAGGGTCCTCCCTAATCTTCATCCGCAGACAGGTGCTATTCAAGAGGGTGAAATGGATGGGTACAGGGATGATATTCACCACAAAAGTACAGCTCACCTGAAAAGAAAAAAAGAAAAAAGAAGATAAAATTACAACAATGCAACACATTGGGAACACTTAGCATACAGTAAGAACAGAAGATACATTAGAATCTCTCAAAGGAAAGATAAACAAAAACAAACTGTGTCCTGGGGTAAGGCTTGAAAAGCTCAAGTCTCCACCAAGGATGGGCAGGGATTGCTGAATCCATGCAGTTGAGTCTGGAGGTTTCTGAGAGGTGCCTGGTGGGGCTACCACCTGCCTCTCAGGGGCCCTCCCCTATAAACTTGATGCTGCATGAGGGAGCTGGCACATATGGGAGATGATCTGTTGGGCACCCCACCCCTACACTTAGCAGTAGCTGCAAATCTACTGCAAAAGGAGAAAATTACCCAGCCTGTGCTTGGAGGGGCACCAGGCCCATTAAGGCATCACACTGATGCACTCATCCCCAGGGTCCAAGATGCCATAAGCTGGACATTAGCTCAGAGGAAAATAACAAATTGGACTTACCTGAACACCTTCAGTTAAGAAACAAAAGGGAGAAATTCAAGCAAACTAAACCATCCACCAACCCAGAAAATAGGAGCAAAGGCAGAGTGAGGACACAGAGGAACAGAATCTGCCTGAACCTCAAGGTCTCAGGAAGCTTAGAGACTGGGGGTAAAGGGGGGCTCCATGCAGAACAAAGGTCATATATTCAGCCAGCTGGGTTGTAAGCACTGGGCTCAGTGCAGCTTTGCTGGGAGCACTATCTTCTAACAATGACCCCTTCTAGGGGACCCTCAGACCTGGTGGGGAGCGGCCAGACCCTCTCTTCTAGCCCAAGAGTGTTCCTGGTACCTTTCCTAAGCCTCCTCCCAAAACCCTCCTTGATATTATTGATTCTCAAACCGTTTTCTTTCCTGGGCCTTCTTGCAAGTGGCAGTTGTTTATGTCTTCATCATGTTTTTTACAAATTGTGCGACCCATGTCCAAGTCCATCAAATATGTCCAACTAAGTATCTGTCAAGAAGAAATCATAGAAACTACACTGAAATATTTACTTGGCACTAGTGAGAAAAGCAGAGAGAACCACAGAGAAAAGTAGGTAAAAGATGTAAACAGATACATCCAAATAATTGTATGTAATTGCTATGTAATTTCTCTTATCATTTTTAGTTTCTTACTTCACTTTTTCCTCCTAATTCTCCATTTTCTTACAAAAGACTGGCCATATGCACACTGCAGTCTCCCTGCTGCACTCCTTCTGATCCCAACACCTGCAGTCAAGCACCAGTGCTGGACACAAAGAGGCAGCAGAGTCCTGGGGTCCACTCCCCGTCCTACTGCAAGCCCCGCTCAGCCCAAGCTGGCGCCATCAGCTCCCACAGAGGCGCCTCCGCAGGGGAGCGGGGCCAGGGCCTGGTCAGCCCACTGCTTAGAGCCAGCCTGTACCAGCCTCTGGGGAGGCCTCCAGAAAGGGCTGTTGGCGGGTGCTGGGGACACTGTCTCTTCATGTGGGAGCTGGCTGCACAAAGGGCCTGTCTTGCAAAGGTCCTTCGAGGTGGCTATTTAGAAAGCAGGCAGGTCCTGGCTTAAAGAGAAAAAAGAAAACTGACAGAGCTCAAATACAGAAGAAATCACCCAGGGAGGATCTCTCCTCGCTGGATTGACCTAGAAAGGTCAAGAAAATTGACTTTGTTTGGGGCTCAGGAATTCCTGCAACTGACACAAGACACTCACTTGTGCCCAGCAACACACACACACACACATGCCATTCATGCACACAAAGCCCCATGCACTGTCACCCTGACCATAAGCTAGGATGTGGAAACAGCAGTAGCGTTGGTGTTGGGGGATCTGGAGCCTCCTGGGTCCAGGACTTGGATGAGGCTGAAGAGGGTCAGTACATGGGAAGGGGTGTGCTCTATGCAGGGAAGGGGTTACCAGGTATCATGCCTCCTATCTCTCCAGGATTGTGGTCAGAGCTGGGACCCTCCCATAGATCCCTGGGACATCAAGCCTGCTTCAGGGCGCTTTCATGGGAACCTGAATCTGAGCATGGACAGAATTACTCTGGGACAGAAGTTTTAATCTAGTCAAAAGTACAGGAAGTGGAAAGAAAAAAACATTTTAGGAAATGCTTGCATCACCAGATGCTAATGCCACTAAAAGTTTATCAGCCAAAACTATAACCTTCAGGTACAATAACCAAATGCCTTCTAGACCATTCCATGGCTTGTTTCAAGAATACTGTGGTGTGGTCCGTCCAAATCTCTTCATGGCCCCCTCTCCTCTTCCTTCGTCATCCTTTCAGTTGAGAGAGTCACTGCCTACCTCATTCTCAGGACAAAAGCCTAGGGTCCATCCTTGACCCTTCTCTTCCTCTCACACCCCATGTCAGTGCACCCCACATCTACCACATAGACCCAGAATTCAGCACAACACCTGGTACCCAGCAAGCCACCTAGTCTTGGCTTGCCTGAGGGATGTAGTGCCCTCTGTGCCGGGCACGGTCTTGTGACTTGTCATAGTCCAGAAGCCTCCCTAGGAATCTTTCCCCTCTGGTCCCCAAACTCTACCTGGCTGGAGTTTTCCAGACTTGCCTGTCTGAGAGAGGCCCTTCCTGAACATTCCCTCTTTCCTTGCCTCACCAAAGCCCTGCCTGCCTGCACTGACCACTCTTGTCCCAGCCTTCCACTATTTCAGTGGAACTTGGGGCCTGTTCACTGTCACTGATGACACAGAGGATGCTGAGACATGTCCCCGCCTGCCTTCTCTGTCCCTTCCAGTCGAGGCCTGAACCCCCGCAGCTGTGCAGTCCAGGCTGGCCTGCTTCCTGCAGGAGATCATCTCCCGGGATCTTCCCTGAGCTCCCGTCCCCGCTGCCTTTCCTCCTTGTTTCATTTTGCCAGCTCACCCTTCTCTTATCTGTCATGAAGGCCTACTCCTGCCATCCACTTCTCTTAACTGGAACAGATGAAGCACTTTCTTTCTCTCCCTCAAAATGCAGCTCAGTCTCTGCCCTGAATGCTCTCCTCTCTGCTCAACCTCTTTTCTTCTCCCCAGTATTTCAGGGTGTCGACTCATCAGGGAAACAAAACAATAAAAAAAAATTGGAGTACTACTAATGATGCTTATATTAAAAAAAAATAGTTACACAACTAAAAATCCATTACCCTTTTCTGCAGCCTAAGGCTAAGGACTCACCCCCAGGCCTGGCTGCAGGGGACATAGGGTGCAGGAGACAGGACAGGAGACAGGACAGGGAAGGGGTGCTCACCTTTTGCTGACTGCGTCGCACCCACAGCAACTTGTAGGCAAACTCATCTGGCTGTGCTTCGTTGTACTGAAACACGGCAAATTCCACACACAGGGTGAAGTAAGTGGTGCTCTTAGCAATGTCCACAAATTTACAAGTGCAGGCATGAAGGCCCAGCACAATGAGCCCCAGAATCAGTATCGACTTGGGGAACATGCTGTCAACAGCAGCGCTGCAGGTCAGCATTGCGTGGGAGGAGCTGGTAGCTGCAGCTCTATGGCTCCTCACCCACGAAGTCCTGCCCCACAGAAGCTCTGAGTTGCTGACTGGATTCTTTATCCAGTCCCTCCTCTCCACTCCCTGCCTTGTCCCTCCAGTCACCAGCAAGCAGAAGGCAAAGCAGGCATCATCCTTCCTGCCCCTTGTCACATAAATCTTAACCCCGGGGCCTGAGTGCAACATGCCCTGTCTCCTGCCTATTTCCAGGGCAGTCTCCTCCTGTCCTAGCTCAGCCCTGTGAAGGCCTGGGTGGATGCCTTGAGCACAGTCACTGTGCTCTTGTTGTGCATCCCAAGACTGGCAGAGTCCCAGAGACCATTTGGAATACTGATGGGCCCAGAGTTCTGCAGAGTTGAGGTAAAAACCAGGTCTACCTCTAACCTTGACTGCAACCCTTGACCTCAGGAACATCTCCCCCTGTCCTCTGTAGGTGCTAACCTACTTTCCAAGAGGACTGGCCAGGACTGGCAGGGGAGAGAGGCATCTCTATGTCCTGAGGTGAGTGAAGACAACACCCAGGACAAGAATGAAGCTAGTATGAGAGGTGGGCTCTGCAAATATGGCAGCCATGGGCATGAGACGGGATCAGAGGCTGGGAAAGTTCAGCCCTGGGTCAGCATGCATTCTCGACCAGCTCTACCAATTGTGGTCTTTGACCTTTGCCCTATCAATGTGTCAGGCTCTTTTCAAAGTAACTGTGGGATCAATATGTGCCCTACCTAGGATGAGAACTAGACAGTGGGAGTGAGCAGACCAGGAAATACATTGTGCTGCTCATGTGCATTAGAATGCTCTGCACTGGGATGATTTTCCTACCTCAGTCATGTGTAATTCAGACACCTCTACATTGCTGATGTAACTAGAAAGGACACAGGGCCTGAGGCACAGCTGTGGGAACAATTATAAAGATGAGACTAGGGCTAGCACAGGAAGAGAAAGAAGTGGGGACATGGTCAACATCAATAAACAGCTGATAGGTGGCATATGAGGACCCCCCATTAGGGCAATCACAACGAGGAGGCAGCAGCCTGCTTCAAAGGCTACTGGAACTTCATCATGTCCTCCTGCCTGAGAAGTTACAGGTTTCCAATGCCTGTTCTTTCCACAGTCCACATTTTGAGATCTGCAGAGTCTGTACTAGGCCTCTTTTTATTTCCTGATGTGGGTTATGTCTATCTTCTCTGTTCTCTATTTCTCTTGCCGAGTTAGCAATTTTATTAGACTTTCCAAAAGATCAGTGCTTGGATTTCTTTTTTTTTTTTTAATAATAAATTTTATTTTTATATTCCCCATACAATTGCAACCCCCTCAATCTGACCCCAATCCCTCCCCTCCCGCCACCCACCCCCCAAAAAGTGTCTCTGGTTCATAGTTTTTTGTTGATTTTGATTTTCACTTTCTTATAGTTATTCATTTTCCTGGTCCCTTATTTAAGTTCTCTAGATTCCTACTATGAGTGAGACCATCCTGTATTTTTCTTTTTCTTTCTGGCTTATTTCCCTGAGCATGATCCCTTCCAGCGACCCTCTCTATTAATTTTCTCTTTCACTCATTTACGCTCTTTTATTGCAATGTCTTGAGAGAGAAAGACTTAGTCACCAATCATCCTCCTGTCCATCTAAAGATGTATGTATGTCCAGACTTAACCCCCCTTTTAAAGCTAAACATTGGCAGCATCTCACATATTGTTACATCATGAGCTTTCGATCATTTGCTCCAAAAATACACCATAATCTGCATTAAGTTTACTTCTCTAGCCCGTACAATTAAAGGTGTATTGCTGAATTTTTAAATCTTTTGCTCCTTAATTTCTATTTAAACTTCACTGTGCCCAAAGAACCTATTTTATGTGCTATCAGTTCTTTGAAATCCATCGAGTTTTGCTTTATGGATCAGAACATGTTCAATTTTGATAAATGTTCTTTCAGTTCAATAAGAATATGTGTTCTGACATTGTTGGTGAATGTTCTATACAATTATTATGATTTTGTCAAATTAACACTCATTGAGTGGAAAACAGGATGCTGGATGATGAGTCATGGTCCAACAATGAATCACAAATGAAGATGAAACTGAAAACTTAGTCACTCACAAGTCCTGGAGGAAATATTCAGCACATATGAGGAGCCTCATGGAGGGGTCACATAGGAGGTCAAGGCAAAATGCAGTCAGAGAGGGCAGAACCTGGGCACACAGGTTTATCAGGGTCTGTGAGTGGGATTTCTGGGGTGAGGCTGGACCTGTCAACTCAAATTAAAAAGTAGTGTTTGGGTAAGTTATATAGGGTTCGGGGGCACCCAAGGGGAAGGCTCTGGAGGATGGGAGACACTGTTGTTCACAAATGCTATTGGGGAGATCACATTAGGACCTAACATTTGTTGGGGACTCTGCTGGCTGCTAACTTGGCCATGTGCTTGTATGTGTCAGTTTCCAATCATTTTGCCAAAGAAAATGAATGCCAAGGCAGCAATGCCATGGAGAAGTTAAGTGAACATCTTGTCAATGATACAAAGTTAAAGTTATTAAATGGATTCTAAATTTGTATATATTTTTTGATCTTTAGCTTGTGACTTCTATGAGTTAAAGACAGAGGTACTTTATACTCTCCTCCCGGGACTGGGGGTTTGGCTGTTCTCCCTGCAGCCCTTTTGGGTTGCATTATATATCGCAGATGATGACAGGAGGGGGCCCCTCAGTAAAATTGTTGTAACTTCCATAAAGCATAGCTATGGCCTTGTCCCCAAAAGGCCATGTTTCTGACCCACACCAGCATACAGAGGCCCTGGTCAGAGTCAGGCACCTCTATTTGTACACTGGTGTTCATAGGGGCTCACTGCTCAGTAGCAGAGGCTGTGAAGTAACAGCATCTGGGGCCTAACTCCAAAGGGCCTGGCCTCACACAAGAAACATTTGAAAAGCTCCTTGATGACTCTATTGAATCTGAGTTCAAACAGAGCAAAACTGAAAAGAGCAGGAACAGAAATCAAGTTTTCCTCAATGCAATGGGAGTTGAGGTGAAGGTGCTTACTGGTGAGCAACAGAGAGAAGAGCTCAGGAGGGCCTGGCTATCCTTGGTCACAGAGGACCCATAAACAATGGCTCCCCACTCTGTGCTGAGTGCTCTGAAGCCAATGGTGGGCAAAAGCAGCTTTGCTGACCACACACAACCACCCTCATAAATTTATCTATGCCTCTTTCAGAGTGTGGGGAGAGGTTGGAAAAGCTACATACTGTTTGGTCAAAGAACCAGAGTTAATACAGGCCACTGCCTTTGTGCTGTGCCCAGTGGAGCTACCCAGAGTCATGTGGGGAAAACTCCCTCTCCTCATTGTTTGTGGACACATCATGCAGACAGATAAATCTGGAGAGAGACAGACTTTCAAATAAGTGATGCTCAAATCAGATTCCCAGAAATCTGGAAGGAAAGATGAAAGATCCATTGGCCTCTCCTTTCTGAAGTACTCCTCCACAGCACTGCCACGGCCTCTCTGTCCCCAGACGTGCCCCACATCCTCCATCTCTCTGCCATCTGTAGAGATGTCCACCATAAGAGGGTGTCTGTCACCACAGTGCCTGTTCCGGGGAAGGTGAATGGTGTTCACACCCTGGAGGAACACAGGATCAGGAAGCAGGTGGGATCTGGAGTGGCCATCTGCTGAGCCTTCCTCAGAGACCCTAGAGAATTGGTGATGGGCAGAATTTTCTGTCAGCTTCAGTCACGTGTCCTCCACCCCTGTGATGGGGATGACCCTTTGCAGAGGGACCACTCACTATGAACCTGGTCCAGACATGGAAGCTGAGTGGACACAAGTGTTTCTTTCCTGTCAAAATTCTCTGTGTTCCCTTAGAGTGGAATCAAGGAGGGGCAGGGAGAGATTGGAGTAATAAATACACAAATGGAAGGAAGGAAGGGAAGAAAGGAAAGGGTAATGGATGGAGGGAAGTAGGGAGAGAGAGAAGGGGACAAATGGTTGTATGGATGCAAGGAAAGATGAACACAGGAAGGAAGGGAGTGGGCGAAGGGAGGGAGGAAGAAAGGTACAAACTATTCAGAACCAGTAAGGAGGGACTCACATGACTTAGGGAATAAAGATACATTTTCCAACAGTTGTCGCTCACTGAGGTAGAAAATAAATGACAAGGGAGTGCAAAACTGACAGGGACGCCAAAAATTCTCCAAATGCCTTTAATTCCCCCTGGTGCTTTACACATCTAGGACTACAGACTGTCCTTCTCCAGAGGAAAATGGACTTCTGCTGGGAGAAATCGGGACTCCTTTGCATCTATAGTTGCAGGCAGGTGCTGTTCAAGAGCAGGAACTGGGAAAACCAAGGGCGGGCATCCACAATAAAAGTGCAGAGCACCTAAAAGAGGGAATGATAAAACTTAAAATTAGAACAATGTAACACGCTGAGAGCACTTAGCATATAGTGCTGTAGTATGTAGCACATAGGAACTCAGGATGCATTAGAACCTACAAAAGTAAACAAACGCAAATTCAAACAGTGGCCTAGGGCAGGAATTGAGAAGCTCCAGCCTCCACCAGGATGATGGACAGGAGTGCTGAATCCACCCACCTGCATCTGGAGCCTTCTGAGAGGTACCTGGTGGGAACACTCCTGCCCTTATGGGTATCCCCCACGCACCTGATGCTGCGTGAACACTAGTGAGTTCCGAGGGAGCTGGCAGATGCCCAGGAGATGGTCGGGCTGGGCACAATCCCTCTGCCCACTAAATAGCAGATGAACCTTTCTCCTCCTGGGAGAGCACCAGACATAGTGGGGAACAGAACCCCTCATTCTACATTGGCATGTCCCTGATGACTTTCCTAAGCCTCCTCCCACAGGCCTGAGATACTAGAAAATATCTATTTGTCTCTTCCCCCAGCTTCTGACACAGGATTCCTGAAAACTTTATAAAATTCTAAGAGATAAAATTCTACTGAGGTGACTCCAGGAAGCTCCTAAATGACCCCTGGATGGGAGCCAGTCACTAGAAAGACCAAACCCTGATTAGAAGCATGGAGTTTTCAATCTTGCACCCCATCCTACAGAGAGGGGACAGGGGCTAAAATGGAATTAAATATCAAGCATGCCTAAGTGAGGAAGCTTCATAAAATCCTTTTAGTATGGCATCTGAGAGGTCCCCCTCCACACTGCGAGGATAACTCACCCAGCTCCCTGGGAGAGAAGCTCCTGTGCTAAGGACCCTTCCAGAACTTACCCTAAGTATATCTTCATCCGTATCCTTTATCATAGTCTTCATTAAATTGGTAAACTGGGCCTCCCTGGTGGCGCAAGGGGTTAAGACACAACCTATAAAGCTATCCACAGCCACTGCAGCACAAGTTCGATCCCCAGCCAGGGAGATACCCACATGGCGCAGCAGACCTCTCCTGACTCGCCCACTCTCCCCTCAGCAGTGTATTTCAGTCACTCTGCTGTTCTGTTCCCCACTCTGTCTCTGGAGAATCCTCTCCCCCACACACACACCTCTGGCCTGTACCCCAGTTCTTGTATGCATAAATAAATAAATCATAAACAAACAAATAAATAAATAGGTAAACTGAAGGGCCTCCCTGAATTTTGTGAGCTTCCCTAGGAAATTGGTCAAGCTCAAAGAAGGAGGAGGTCATGGGAAGCTCTGATTTGTAGCCAAGTTGGATAAAGTTGTGGGTAACCTGGGCACCTACTAATGGCAATTAGCACCTGAAGTGGGAGGCAGTCTCTTGGGACTGAACCCTAAACCTGTGATCGAAGGTGATGCTATGTCCAGGGAGAGTTAAATGATAGGACACTCAGCTGCTATCACAGACAATTACTTCTTGGAGGAAAAACCTCACACATTTGTTATGAGAAGTAAATGAGACATAGAGGACTGTCGGTTTTTCTAATATCCCTTCCTTGCTATTACTTTGCACTCTAAGAAGATTCACGGTATATCAGGCTGATTTTGTGCTCAAACCTTTTTATCTCCTGGTGCTTCTTGCAAGGGACATTCATCAATATCTTCATGTTTTTTACAAATTGTGCGGCCCATCTCCAAATCCATTAAAAATATCATTGTCCACCTCTGTCAAGAAGAAATTGCAAAAGGCAAGAATTTATCATTTTTATGGGTGAGTAGTATTGCCATGTCTGTCTGTACTGCATTTCCTAGCCCATTCATCTTGTCTTTAAGCATTTAGGTTATTGACCTAAGCATTTAGGTTATCTGCTATAACTTGGTTATTCTAAATAGTGCTGCAATGAACATAGGGGGCACATGTGTCCCTTTGAAGTAGTGTTTTTGCATTTTCTGGGTAGATAGTCAGGAGTGGAATTGCTAAATCATGTAGTAGATTTATTTTTAATATTTTGAGAAATCTCCATACTGTTTCCATAGAACTGGAGGGGGGTATTCTACGTGAAATAAAAGGAGAAAGACAGATACTAGATGCTGTCCTTATATGTGGAATATAAAGGAATAAAACAAAGAGTCAGATAAAACCAAACCAATAACAAACACTAGAAATTTGACTGTAGAATTTGTCTCCCTCCTACCAGAGGAGGAGGTAGAAGGGGGCAGAGTAAGTGGGAAGGCAGCACATGTGCTGTGGTGGAGGACTTCTAGTGTCTTGGTGGTGTGTAATAACATGCACCTGAAGGATGTGATCCTGTGCTTTTAGATCATACTACAATGTTGTAAATCAAAATTACCTCAATTTAAAAAAAAAAGGAATTTATAAAGCAGTCACTAAATATTTGCTTCTCATGAATGAATAAAGGAAAGGCATAGAACCAATCAGAAGGGCAGTGAAAGACCAGAATATGCATGTAAATAGCATGTACATGTCATGTGCAATTTCTCTACAAGTATATAAGCAACAGAAAGGTTTCCCTTAATACACCTAGAGCTTGCAGTAGTCTTCCCTGCTGCACTCCTCCTGATCCCAACGCCTGCAGTCAAGCGCCAGTGCCCTGGACACACAGGGGCAGCAGAGTCTCGGGGTCCACTCCTGGTCCTACCGCAAGCCCCACTCAGCCTGTGCTGGCGCTATCAGCTCACACAGGCCCCTCCGCAGGGGAGCAGGGCCCTGGCCTCTGGGGAGGCCTCCAGAAAAGGCTGTTGGGGGGTGTTGGGGACACTCTCTCTTCATGTGGAAGCTGGTTGCACAAAGGACCTGTCTTGCAAAGGTCCTTTGAGGTGGCTATTTAGAAAGCAGGCAGGTTCTGGCTGTTCACTACACTTCTACAGAAAGTTAGTAAGGCTTACGATTTTATTTCCTTAAAGAGAAAAAAGAAAACTGACAAAGAGCTCAAATACAGAAGAAATCACCCAGGGAAGATCTCTCCTCGCTGGATTGACCTAGAAAGGTCTAGAAAATTGACTTTGTTTGGGGCTCAGGAATTCCTGCAACTGACACAAGACACTCACTTGTGCCCAACAACACACACACACATATACACACACACACACACACACACACACACACTCTCACATCACTGGTGCACACGTAAACCTGTGCCCTGTTCAGGGAGGAAGTACACTCTCCTGTCTCCTCGGCATATGGTCAGAGGTGGGATCCTCCACACTCAAGCCCCCGGGACATCGTGCCCACTTTAGGGTGCTTCATCAGGACCAAGTCTGGCCTTGGCTTCACTCACCTTTTGCTGGGCTCTCCTGACCTCCAACAACTTGTATGCATCCTCTTCCACATTGTTCTCATTGAACTGAGCCATGGCAAACTCCACTGAACCCATAAAATAATCATCATTCTTACTAATGTCAACAAATTCTTTTTGAATTGTCCAGACATGAGTGCCCAGCACAATGAGCCCCAAAAGCAGCGGCATCTTCAGGAACATGCTGCTTGGCCTCAGCACCAAGGGGGTTGCCACTGTGATTGGGTCACCCTCCTCAGCTGTGTCCCATGCAGCCCCAGCCCACGCCTCCTCCTTATCAGCCTGCTTTGTACCTCCAAACATCACCAAACAGAAGACAGCACAGGAGGCCCCATTTTCCTCCCTTTGTCACAAAAGCCTTGAACACAGGGACACGTATGCAACATTCCCTATCTCTGCACTTTTCCAGGACTGTTCCCTGAGAACTTCCCTCCAACTGCTGCAGGATCACCCCTGCAGTCTTGCTTCCACGTTGCTTCCCCTCAGTGAAAACAAGAAATACCAGAGTCACAATAATTCATGGAGACTCTGATGATCCCTGGGCTGTGCGGGCAGTGACCAAGCCTGCTGACCTTGACCGGAGCCCACACCACCAGCTGAGCCCAGAGAATTACAGAGTGTGCAGCCAACAATGGGAGAAGGGTACTGATGAGGGGCCATCTGCACCAGAGTTGCCCTGACCCTCCTCCGCCCGTCTGATATGGGGACATTCGTTTTCTCTCACTTCAAAATATGTTCCATTGTGACTCCTTTCTTGATCTGTGGGCTGTTCAGTCACACAGGTTTAATTTCCACCATGGCAAATTTTCTAACTCATCTTGTGTTGACTTCTAGCTTAAGTCTGCTGTAGAAACTTTCTGTTATTTCTCTTCTTCAACATTTGTTGAGATTTGCTTTATTGCCCAGAATATGTCTAATCTCTATATGTTCTTGAAAAGAATGTGTATTCTGAATTTTCAAGTTAGGTTAACTATCTATTTATGTCAGCATGACATTTTGTTCAAACTGTCCATATATTTACTTTTTACTCTGACTTAAAGGGTTTGATTTCATTTGATTTGATTTTGGGTTTCAGTTTCTTTTTTATGTTCTTTCACTGAAAAATGAGTTACCATCTCTCACTAAGATTATGATTGTGAATTTGTCTATTCTTTTTTATCACAATTCTTACTATGAATTTTAAAACTCTGTCACTAAGTGCCCATACAAATAGAATTTGACACTTTTTGACAGGAGACCATTTGTTCATTGTGAATTGTATCTTTTTATCTATGTGACCCTTGCTTTGACATCTACTTTGTCAGATGTCAATGTAGCTACATCAGCACTATTTTCATCAATGTTTTAATGATAGATCTTTATCCATCTTTTTCCTTGCATCTAAATGATTTAGAAGCAGCAAATAATTTCTGAAATCAGCCTAACAGTCTTATTTGGAGGATTTCTTCCATTTACAATTACTCAATATTACTGATCACTGATAACTCATGACTGATGTGTCAAAATTCAAATTTACCGTATTACTATTTGTTTTTTATTCATCTGATCTGTCTCTGTTCCCTGTTCCTTCTTTTCTCCTTCCTTGCATTTTTGTATTATTCAAGTATGTTTATTATTAAAAAATATTTTTTATTACATTTATTCCTCTAAATGATTTTTAGTTACATCTTTTTTCACTCTTCTTTTGTGGTGATTCCAGCTAATGTAATGGGCATCATCAATTTTTAAGTCTATTGTACATTACCTTTACCATTTCAAAGATAGTGAGAAGAATTTACAATACTATTACTCCTAATCCCCTTCTTCCCTGTGTATTATCGCCATGTGTTTAAATTCCATATATTTGAAAGCACATAATACGATGATTGCTGTTTTTTATGTTCACTATTTATTTGGATTTAGCAATGTACTTCCCTTTCTGCTAGGCATAATTCCTTCAACATTAGTTAATTTCCACTATGATTATTCCCTTTCCCTTAAGAAAACATTCTTAAATACTTATTTCTGCTTGGATCCGTTGATACATCTTCTACTTTTTTTTTTTTTTTTTCAAAAACTATCTTCTTGGGCCTCCCTGGTGATGCAGCGGTTGAGCGATGGGTTGCAAAGCTGTCCACAGCCCCTGCAGCACCGGTTCGATCCCCAGCCGCTGGGTGAGGGTCCCACATGGTGCTCAGACCTCTCCTGCCGCCTGCTGCTCCCCTCAGCAGTGTATCATCAGTCTGCCTGTTCTGTTCCCTGCTCTGGCTCTGGTGAATTCTCTCACCCTCCCGTGCTTCTGACTGTACCCAGTGCTTGTATAAATAAATAAATAAATCTTGAAAAAAAAACATCTATCTTCTCATTAAACAATTCCACTTCCCTGGGAACATTGACCCTAAGGGTTCAAACAGGCCTCCCTCCTCACTCTTCTTTGTGTCATCCAAGCACTGCTAATGTATGGATCTTTTAAGATTATAAATGTTCCTCTAATAACTGCATTGGCTGCATCTTAGGAAATTCCATTCATATTCTCATTATCTCTCAATTTGCAGTATTTTCTTAAGATTCATGTGGTTTCTCCCATAGCCCACAGATTATAAGCTTATTCACAAATATGACATTAAATTTACAAGTGGTTAGATGTTTTCAAGTCATTTTTACTGTAGTTGTCCTAATAGATATGTACTCTGAATCATTTCAATCATTTGAATTTTTTGAGGTTTTTCTTCTTTTTGATTACTTAAGATGCTTTTGCTGTGCCTTTGTTTTTGAAGAATTTTTTGCTGTGAATAGGATTCTAGGTTGTTATTTACTTCACTTTTTCAATGTTTTTATGTGGAGCTTCAAAAATAGCTTATTTCCAGTTGACTTTTTCTCATAGGATATAGCCTTTCATGGTTGCAACTGAAATCCTGGGGTATTTGCTACTGCTATTATAGCTTCTTTGTCAGATACTAAGCTCAGTTTGTGGATTTCCATTAGAGACAAAGAAAATATCTTTTCCCCAGTGATGTTGAAAGTGACTGCTTCTCACTCTTCCTGTCTACTCTTCTCCCAGCTCCCCCACCTTCTCTTTGCCTCCTACTTCCAACCTCTTCTCTCCCTTCTCCCCTTACCTTTCCTGTCACCCCACCCTCTCCTCTCTCAACTCCAGGTCTTACTCTGGGCCAGGTAGGATAGAGAGGACACAGCTCTATACCATGTAACTGTTCTTCACTACCTGTCCTCCCAGGGGCAGTGCCTATTTCTGCAACCTGATTCTTGGGGCTGGGACCCCAGGTAGGAAATTTAACATCAAAGAGCACTGAGTTGAGCTGCTACTCTCTGAGGTCATCTGCTGTCCCAGGGAAGATTTTCTTATCAATCAGATAGCCTCCTGTGCTTCTCCATAGGTGGTGCCCACAGATAAACAGAACCTTCTTTACCTAATATCCCCATTCTCTCTAGCTTGGGCATGGCCCCTCTAAAGAAGAATTAGAGTCAGGTCTTTGCCTGAGCCTGAAGCAAAAGTGAGATAACTGTTGTTTCCTGGAAAATTCTCCCACAATCCTTGAAGTTTACAAGATTTATGTAAAAAAAAAAGAAAAATTTGGGCCTCCCCAGTGGCGCAGCGGTTGAGCGCTGGATTGCGAAGCTGCCCGCATCCTCTGCAGCACTGGTTCCATCCCCCCCTGCCGGGGGAGGGTCCCACATGGCGCGCAGACCTCTCCTGACGCCCGCTGCTCCCCTCGGCAGTATGTTTCGTCAGTCTGCCTGTTCTGCTCCCTGCTCTGGCTCTGGTGAATTCTCTCACCCTACTGCGCTTCTAACTGTACCCAGTGCTTGTATAAATAAATAAATTAATCTTTTTAAAAAAAAAAAGTATTAAAAAATTTTTTTAAAAAAAGTTTTAAAAATATTTAAAAAAAAGAGAAAAATTTGGTTCCATTTGAAATAGCTTTGACTTCTGAAATCCAGTTCTGCCTTCAAGGGGTATTCACATTCTGTCCTTGGCCTATGGTCCAGAACCCAGCACTTCCATGGAAGGGCCATCAGCACCATTACCCCCTCTTCCTATGGGGATTAGTTCCCAGTGCCATGTGTCTTGACCCACTGAAAGCTCCCAGATAAAGTAGAGAGCTTCCCCATCAGGATTCCAGAGGGTTCTGGTAGAGTCCATAAACTACTCCCCAAGATGGATCAGAGATATGTACACAAGCAGGTTCACAGCAGTATTAGTCACATACAGAAAGAACTTGGGAATGATAAATGGAAGAATGATAAAGTGTGATATGTACACTCAGATGAGTATTATTCAGTCTTAAAAAGGAAGACTATTCTCATACGTTCTCCTACATGGATGAAAATTGAGGACAATATGTAAGTGAAATAAATCAATCACAAAAGCACAAATATTGCATAATTCCATTTATATGACATACTTAGAATATCAAATCCATAGTGACAGAAAGTAGAATGGTGTTTTCCAGGAGATGGAGGAAAGAGGGCATGAGGTGTTATTATTTACTGGGTACAGAGTTTCAGTTTGGGAAGACAAGAGAGTACTGGAGATAAATAGAAGTGGCAGTTGTACACCCATGTGAAAGTACTTAATGCCAAATAACTGTGCACTTGAAAATGACTTAAACAGTCAATTTTATGTTAAGTATATTTTACCATAATAAAACAAAAAATCAGAGCCTTGGGAAAATTCATAATCTCTAAGAGAGAAGCAAGTTTTGAAGGACAACTTGTTCCTGCTGGCATGACCCTCTGGTGTCCATCTGTCAGCAGGGGGAGTGGAAGGCAGGAGCATCCATTCCCCAAACATGCTTTGGGCTTGCTAGGCTCTCCCACTCTCGTCTCCTCCATCTCCTATCTGGTTTGAACATTACCACCTCTTTTGCGAACATCAGTGTGGTCCAAGAGCACTGGGGTCTAGTGTTGACCATTCCTGAAGCTGTGTCTGGCATCTGAGAATATCTAATGCTTGTTCAGTGTCTTATTCTTGGATTGCATTTGAGATCATTCATTCCCAAGGAACCACAGAAACAACAGAACACAGAAGAGTCATTGTCATCAGAATATTTTGTCCTCTTGAGAGCTCTGAAAAATATGTTTACATAACATTTTTGATACAAATTAAAAATATGTTTACATAACTTTTTTTGCAGAAATTAAAGTTCTTTCCCCTAATTGCTCAGCTATAAATTAGAGCCAGGACCAAATGTCAGTGCAGTTCTTTCACCATTTGAAAAATCATTGGAATTTTCTCCTAAGCAGCTGACAAAATACTTTTGTGAGTGTCTTAGAGAACTTTGCTGGAAAGGAATGAGGATGCTGGAAAAGACAGAGATGCCAACAACTGTTACTCTAATGCCCAAGGAACCCAGGGGGAGAACAACAGGCCCCTGCTCACCTGCCTGACCCCAGGCCTCTGACTCTGACTTTAGGATTGTAACCAGCAAGTGTGTTTGTTATAAGCACAGCTCTATTCCTCAGCTTTCA